TGCCAAGTAGCATTCTAGCTTCCCAAATTAAATTTTATTTCAAATATTTTAGATATTCATAACAATAAAATCCACAAATACTGATCTTTGTATTGAGTTATTAAACTTTGTTAAACACAGCTGTAGTTTTCAGAGAGGCGGGTCCAGATAACGCCATGGGCATCAATAACATCTGAGAGCTGGCCGCTCGCCTTGTGACCTTATTAGGCCTGTCACAGTAACAAATGTTGCTGGGTGATGAATTGTACCAGTAATTTACACGACAAAAACAATAAATAAAATGGAAATAAAAACCACTTGCAAATGAAACCATAACTTAGATTATCATGTCACTGTGAGCAATTTTTTTAATCAAAAATATTCATCAGAAAGGAATTTATCAAGCTCAATATAAGTTATGTAATTAATTGCTTTTTGCAAGACGCGTTTTTTCCATCGAGCAAACTGGATGCATTTATTTTAATAAGTTAACCTTAATAAGTTTTAGAGACATAAGAATTAATACATACATACTTTAATTTTAAACATAATTCTTTCTCTCAGAAATGTGACATTTAGCAAACAGAAACTCTTTTAGTGACTCTGACCAAGAGAAGTTTGGTCTTTAACTTCAGAATGTCTTTTTTTACTCGCTGTATGTAAATGTCTGGCTGCTGGAAGAGCGGGTCAAAACAGAGGACTGGTTGCTGATATTAATTATTGATCCGACCTGCTGTAGCGCCATCTTTTGGCCTGTTGATGAAACTGCGGTAGTTCTGTTTCGTTTCCTGCAGTTGAGAAAAAGCAGTGATCATTGTGCAGCTTTGTGCTTTTCATCATCGGCCTGTCACAATAATAAGTTAATCGATGTCAAATTTATTTGTATGGCACAATAAAACGGCTTCAAAGTGCTTCACAGTTTACACCAACAGTCATAACATAAAACAAAGATTAAAGTTAAAAATAAAATGAAGATATGAAATAGCAAACAGAAAAGTAGTAACAGCTTCAGAAAAACAGCAATTCAATCACAACAGATGATTTCACTTTGAAACACTATAAATTACAATTAGCTCAATTTCCATTCTGATTATTTTTTGAAGGGAAATGTTATTGACAGACATCATAATGCATTTTATTTCTGCCTTTGGTTGTGTTTGTATGCCTACTTTATTTATTCTTTTTGGTTGTTTAATTTTTGATATTTGAAATACCTTCCAGTTCGAGTGTTAAGTGTTCTGTTATAAAACTTGTATTTATTTGTTAATAAGAGGGAGAACTTGAATTATGTCATTCTCGGTGGATTCCATGAAAATGGTCACAATACACTGACATGATCAAATACTTGAAGAGTTACTGGGAAAATGTATGCCGAGGCAGTGCTGCACTGCACAACTGGGACATATCCCAGTCACAACTACACATTTTGACCGACAATAAATTGTCCCAGAATTTATTGCAAGAAAATGACAATATTGTTATTTAGGATGGCATGATAATGAAGAACACGTTCACAAAGATCAATAAATTTGAAATTCTAATAAACATATAACACTGGAACTGGAAGACATTTTAAATATCCAAAACAAATACAATTAATCATGAAGAAGGAAAATAAAAAATAAAGCTTTTATCATCCAGTTTTTGGTCGAGGAAAACGAGAAATCATGCCAGTGGAAATTATTGAACTTGTCTGAATTTATTATGTGCTTCATTGATTATTGCTGATTGTGACAGGAAACGTTAAAGAAGCAGATCAACATGAAAGCGTTGAGATTTTTTAGATAAAGTTGAGATCAGTTGTGGAGTGTTTTATTTTCTCAGCTCATCACGACTCCTTTATGTAACCGTCCCACACTGTTAAATAACCCCCCCCTCTTCCCCCCCTGCAGACGCCTGCGGTCTGACCGACCCGGTCCATGTGGAGTCACTGCAGGAGAAGGCTCAGGTGGCGCTGACGGAGTATGAGCGCATGCAGTACCCGTCGCAGCCGCAGCGTTTCGGTCGGCTGCTGCTGCGCCTGCCGGCGCTGCGCGCCGTCCCCGCCAGCCTCATCTCCCAGCTCTTCTTCATGCGTCTGGTGGGGAAGACCCCCATCGAGACGCTGATCCGAGACATGCAGCTCTCTGGAAGCTCCATCAGCTGGCCGTACGTCCCGGGGCAGTAGCTCTGCCCTGAGCCCACCCAGCCCCCACCTCCTGACTCATCACCGTCCTACTGTACGCTTGTGAGGCGCGGTGCCAGCTGGCCGTCCATCCCCCTTTCCCGTCTCGTTGCCAACCCGGTCTCTCCGGTGCCAGAACACAGCTCCGCACCCTGGGATCCAATATGGCCGCCGCAGCCAGCATGTCATGTCGACTAAACTCAGCCTCATGCAGGGAGCAGCAGCACCCTGCTACAGATCCTCATAGAGGACAAAACAGTTCTTTCCTCCATGCTGCGCATCATGACTGGAATGGGTTTGTCTCATGAAGGAAAATCACCAAAGTTTCTTACATCATCCTCAGAATGTCGTCATGGTAAACGCATCAGAGGAGCGGATAAAGTATACTAAACTACAATGGCTCCATTGGGAACAGACCGATACCTCATTAGACATCAGAATGCTTTAGTCGGATATTTCCTGTAGGATTTGTTCACCAGAAACCGCCTTCTTTTTGACAACTGCCTTGCTATAGAGGACGATGAACCTGGAGCTCCTTCTGGCTCAGGAGCTCTTCTGTCTTGTATCTTTAAAAACAAATCCTGTCATTTTCTGTTGTCTTTTGAAAAGATTAGTTTTTAAATGTCTCAGTACAGTTTACTCTGCTTCGTTTGGATACATTTTATGAACGAGATGCATAAGGCCGACGTGGAATTTTAAATTGACAAAGGAAAATTAAAAGATGGATTTTTAGCAGTGAAGAATCACTTTATGTCCCATTACAAACGCCTTGCTACAGTATTCACACACATTTGTGGTGTTGCAGCCCCAAACGGCCATGTGTTTTAAGTTTCTCTGATGTACAGACACAACGAAGCAGATCAAATAAAAACTTCAGCTGCTGCTCTCCTGGGGAATGAGGAAGACCTTGGTTTATGGCAATTTGTGTTTCATCTGGCTCCGCCCACCTGACCGACCCGGATCACTTTTGGATCAAAAGTGGATCAAAACCTTTATTAAACAGAAAGAGGTGGAGGATGGAAGGGGAAGACCTGCGGTAAAAGGGCAGAGTGGGAATTGAACCCAGGACTTCTTGTGCTTCCTTCCAACAGTATCTTTCTTCCTACTTTTCTGTCTTGTGGAGTCTACAACTTCTATTTACCAAAACTGCAACTAACCATTATTTTAGTAATGAATTATTCTGATGAGTTATTACTTAAAAATTTGGCACATTTTGCAGATTTTTAATTCAACCACTTACGCTTATTTTATACGCTTATATTAGAAATGCCTGGAAAGGAGCAAATAAACAGATAATTCCTTTTCTTTAATAAGAAAATAAACATTTTATTCCCTAAGATGCAATAACAGCATTCTTTCAGTGAACACTTGATCGTTTGCAGCAAAGGAATTATCTGCAGCTAAAATTCTTCAACACTTGAACAGATCAGGTCTTTCTGCTGGACTCAACGTCTGATCTGCTGATTATTTTGTTTTGTTAACCGATGAAGATATTGTTTTTAGATCATTTGAACCAGCTGAAGCTAAAACTCTGCCACTCGAGGAGTTCTCTAGACAGTTGTTTTCATCTTATATGCTATATGTCCATATTTTTGGTAGAAATTAGTGAGACCTCCTACATCTCTGCTTTAAACATTTTCCTCCCTGATCTCCTGCTGAGATCCTCTGGTCGCCATGGTGATGCTGATTAAATGCTGTTTACTCATCAGGTCACTTCTGAAGGTCATTGGTTGCAATAGATTTTTATTCAGGAGAATCAAAGGGGCTGAAAAAATATTTGACACACTTTTCAGATTTTTATTTTTAAAACAATTTTGCCTTTCCTTGAGCTCTACAATTATGCACTAACTTTGTGTTGATCATCACCAATGGTTTCCTTTGTGGAAACAAAGAAGGGGTGTGAATACTTTTGCAAGGCGCTGTACTACACCTGGGGCTGCAATCTCTTGAAAATGTATTAAAATGTGTATATATCTATATATATTGATGCCAACTTTGTCTTTTTGCATGTTAAGATGTTGTTTTTGGTTCTCTGAGGTCAAGATGTTATTTTTTTTCCTCATTTACACTATTAATCAAGTTTGATTTCAACATTAAAGTTTTCCTTTAACTCGTAGCTCCTAAATGCTTTTTTTTCTCTCTGAGATGAAAATACCTCTACTGAAACCAGAACAGAGCTGGAGCTGGAGGCTCAGGCGTGGATCTGCTGGATCAGAGCAGAGTCGATGCCAAAAATCAAAACACCCCACTGTTTGAGTTGAAACAGAGCCTGGTCCTATTGGATTTACCTCATGTGATTAGTTCAGGAAGCAGGTTACAGATGATGTTAAGGACAACTAAACTATGATGGTGTCTCAGGGCCATTGGAATAGAAAAAAATTGTACATTTCTGGCAAAAAACTGACATTTTTAGATCTCACAAATTTTCTTGAAAAAAAATGTACAGGGTTTTTTTCCCCCCCAGAAAATATCTGAGCTTAATATCAAAATGTCTTTTTTTTTGCCAGATATGTTCTGATTATTTTTCTACCTATAATTGCCCACATAAACAGCACATTCTCTTGTTTTTTTTTCTTTGTATTTTTTGAAACCATTTGTTGGTGAAACATTTAACATTTGTAACCCTTCTTCCTGATCTGCTGCTCAGCCATGTTTTAAAGGACTGAAGATGAACACTTTTTAAAATAATCTGTTTCTGGGTTTCCTAAGACTCCAGATCTCCTGTATGTGGCTGTTATTAAAAGAATCAAACATGACGCGTCAAACCTTCTTTAGAGAACATGGTACGTTTATCTGTATGGGGAATGCCAAATAAACACAGCAACATGTGATAACTCAAGTGTATTCATGCAAACTGTATGGTAAGTCACAGGGCTGCACAGTGGTGAAGTTGGTAGCACTGTTGCAGCAAGAAGGTCCCGGGTTTGATTCCCGGTCCGGGATCTTTCTGCATGGAGTTCGCATGTTCTCCTTGTGCATGCTGGGTTCTCTCCAGGTACTCTGGCTTCCTCCCACAGTCCAAAAAACATGACTGTTGGGTTAATTGGTTTCTCTACATTCTCCCTAGGTGTGTGTGTGTGTGTGTGTATGGTTGTTTGTCCTGTTTGTCTCTTGTGTTGCCCTGCGACAGACAGGCGACCTGTCCAGGGTGACCCCGCCTCTCTCCCAAAACGTTGGGGAGAAGGGTGGACAGATAATGGATGGCTGGAAGAAACCTAAAATAACCAAGCAACAGATCAGTCTCAGAAAACATCCTGGAACTTTTTGCAGATAAGCTAGAGAACATGTCGACTTCACGTGCAGCACATATATATTTCCAGGCAACAACTTAATACTGACTCCAAAGGGCCGATGAGTTATCAGGAGGTTCTTTAACAGAAGCCTTGATCGTAGATTTTCACCAGATGTTTGATGTGGAAAAGTTTTCTTCGAAGTTCTTTGCTCTGTCTCTTCTTAGCCTGATAGTCTTCCGTCTGGAAAAAAAAATAAGCAATCAGATGTTAAAACAGCCAATCTCATCAGTAGTACCTACAGATGTCCTTCTAGTTGTTTTGTGTCTAAATCATCCTGAGCTTCATTCAGGCACTTTGCATTCAGGCACTTTGCATCTGCCCGCCTCAACAACATTTTCGGCTGGTGGGACATTGTCTTTGCTTCCCTTTGATTTTTACTTTCTTTTGTGTTTGGATTGTAATCAAATGCAAAACTCAAACTTTCAAATCGGAACTCTAAAACAAAACGTCATAAACAGACTTCAAGAATTAAACTTTAGACTGCACAAAAAGTGCTCTGAAAACGTATGCAGATTTGCATAAGCAATGCTTTGAACATTTTTGAAAACTGTTGACAGCTGACGTAAGTTGCTCAACATCCTTTTTACCTAATGTTTTTCTGCATTCTAGTCTTATTTTGCATTGTGTGTCTTTTTGCAAGGGAGTTGCAATGGAAATTTTGTTAAATTCTGTTCAATAATAATAAATGCAATCCATCCATTAATCCATCCATTACTCTAAGAAACAGCTAATAATACTAAATCACCACACATTACAGTGTTGGGGTTCCCCCGTCTGACTTGTGGATCCCTTTGAGCTCCATCTGTGTTTATCAGTCTCCTTCCCTCTGTTTGCTGCTCAGGTTCGCTCTCGGCTGTTCAGCATTTCCCTGATTACACTCATCTGGTTCCTATGCAACCTGAAGTCATCGCCTCTGTTTGCTCGTCTTCTCATTGTGCTAAAGAAAAGCCCGGTAACAGCAACAGAATCTGGATGGACCCGGAGCGTGGCTCTTATTTCCTGACAGTGTCTGCACAGCAACGTTAACATTTCCTGGGTTTTGATGTAAAATTGAGGATATGATGTTTAGCAAAAAAAAGGAAAATAGTTCAAACTAAAAAGCTGGATCCATAAATATTAACACCCTTAAACCATAATGTGTTGTTAATGCACTTCTGGATTCACTTTTAGGATTCTCAGCTGATGTGAATGTTTGTAAATTTGAGGAACCATAAAATATGTTTAGTCTTTTATGACATCTATGTTCTCCAAATGTCTGGATTGAGAAGAAGAGCTGCAAGGCAGGAGGATTTTCCTTTAAATAAATGACTCTGTCCTGATTGAAACACAGCTGGATCTCAGGTTTTTGTCAGATGAAAACAGTTAAAGTAGCTGTCAGTTTTAAAACAGGACTGTCAGCTGTTTGCTTGGAAGGTGACGGTAAAAAGTGATATTATTTGTTATTATCACAATAAGCTTTCATCTAAATCAACACAGGATGGCTTTCTGTGAGGAAAGCCAGGTTTAGAATGGCCTAGCCAAAGTCCAGAAATAAAAGCGACAGAAAATCACTGAGGTTCCCAGGAAGCACAAAGTTTTGGGATCTTTGCAAGGTACACTGGGATGCTGACAAACTCCTTCTAATGAAAAAACCCTGAAAATCAACCAAAAGATTCAACAAGATGTTAGTTTCAGAGTTAAAGCAAGACTTTTGCATGAAGACGTGCAAGGAGAACCATTTTTTCTCATTGTCTGAAGTTAAATCAAACCTAACCTTTCTTGTTTTAGCTTAGCTACAATGACCTAACTTATGTCATACAGTTGATCAGACAGTTTCCGGGATATGTAAGTAAACTTTTGAATTTGAGGAAAGTTACAACATAAAACAAAAACTTAAATGTTCTCACCAGGGTTTTTTTCTATTTGACTTCAGACAGTGAAAAAAAATGTGCATGCGTCTTTTTATTCAACGTATGTAAATATCTGGATCCAGCTGTGGGTAACAGAGTCATAGCAGACAAGGCTAACAGCCAAAAGGCTCTGATGGACACAGAGGTCAAAGGTCACCGTACCTTTTTCAGGTCTTTCAGCCGGTTGTATTCATCTGCTATAGCCTGCAGGTCACAAACAAATGTTCCACTCACATGTTTGCAAAGTTCAACAAATATTACAGTCTTGACTTATCTAGTGCTAAATAGAACAAATAAATAAATAAAACATCCTGCAAAAGCATTCCTCTCCCATTTTTGTGGTTTTTTCCTCATGCATTTTTTACCTGTTGAGATTTTATGTAATAAACCCAGATTAGCACACAGCTGAAATGATTTTAATATGTAACATTTGGAAAAGGATGGCAGGATGAATTTAGCCTCATTCTCTTTCAGTCTGATTCTCCCAGGATTCAGTAGTTTCACTTCAGAAGTCGCCCTGTGCTTGTTCAGTAAAAACTGAACACAAAATGTTCAGCAAAGACATGTGAGCCTCTGTTATGACTGCAGAAGCTTTCGCTACGTCAGACCCGCCTCCAGGCTCTGATTGGCTGCTTCTAACTGGCACTGGGGGAAATCAGAGAAGTTTGATTCACATTCTGTCTCCTGTCAGGACACAGTGGCAGCTTAAATAATAATAATATAAAAACAATTCTATAAATTATAATGTGCAGCTTTAATGAATACTTTTGCAAGGCCCTGTAAGCAGGAGAGGAAGAGCAAAAATAAAGAGTAGCTGAAGCTTTTCTCCTCTCTCTGGTTACCTGGTGCCTCCCAGAGCCTTCGTCCAGCGTGTCCAGCTCTCGGCTCAGTTTGTGCACCTGGTCACTGATGTGGTCCATCTCAGAGCAGAGCGTCTTGTAGTGGGCCAGATGCGAGTCAAACTCTCTCTTGTACTGGCGGCGCTGCTCGTCTGTGGTGATGGCTGGGTACAGCCTGGAGGCACACAGCAGCTGATTACTGCTGTTTCACTGTCATGAACCGCGTGTTCATCAGCGTCTCCGGCGTGAAACAGAAATCACTTCAGCAGTAAGTTATTGTGATTATATTAGATTAATAGTCAACACAATCTGTATTGCTATATTTTTGAACGATGGATGTTTCTGTCATTCTCTATCTGATGTATCAGACAAAGGCAAGACTTTGTTGCTGTGGAGACAGCAGCAGCGACCTGACCCACCTGTACAGGTAATCTCTCTGGTCCCAGTCCAGCTCATTACCAGTGTCCCCAGAGGTGTAACCAGTTTCGTACTGGGACTCAGCCGCCTGCTGAGCTGCAGGCGTGGATCCTGTGAGCTGTTTCTGCAACCGCTTGTTGGTGTGATGAAGAGGAGGCTCCCTCTTGTTGGTGTGATGAAGAGGAGGCTCCCTCTTGTTGGTGTGATGAAGAGGAGGCTTCCTCACGCTGTCGTCGGAGCTGCTGGAACTGACTGCAGCTCTGATGTTTTGGTAAACAGGCTCAGTGTCGCGCTTGGCGCTGTTCTCTGTGCAGGAACTGAACAAGAAACACAAAATCAGCAATAAGAGAAACAATTTCACGCAGTACACCGCTGAGGAAAAATTATGCAAAAAAAAAATCATAATAGTAATCCTATAAATTTGTTAATTCTAAACTTCTCATCATAAATTTTGTTTTATGTTTTTAGTCTTTTAAAACGATATAAGTTAAAATAATTGATTTACACATTAGGTAAGACTTCATTTGAAGGGGTGTGTCACGATCATGGAGGAGTTTTCATCAATGGTAATTATTGTCATGAACGTCATTCAGTTCACGACACTTTAAAGGCAAAGTGGCTTTAAAACTTGCATTAAAAGTGTCACTAATTACTGAATTACACTTAAAGAGGAGTCACAAATATTCAGGAAGAATCCTTCACGTTCATTATTATTATTTTATGACAGTGTCATATAAGTCTTATGTACACCCCTTCAGATAAAATGTTACTAAACTTTATTTCTGATGCTGATTTTCTGATTCGTCAAGCTGCTGTGCTCCTCCAACTGGTGTAGTAAAGCAAGAAATCAAAAGGTTTGTGAAAAGTTAAAGACCAGAGGAAATGTTCAGCAGCCTGCTGCAAAGAATCAGAAGAACTGTGGGGATAAAATACATTTTGATTTGATTAATATAAAATATTACACATTTTCTTACGATCAATCAAACGAGGGGACTGTGATGAAGAATTGTATTTAATTGTATTTAAAGTTATAATATATTATCTGATAATGAAACTCATGACCAGTAAAATCTGAAGCTGTGAGGGAACATTTATGACAAATATAGTAATCACTGAATGGGAATAAAAAAACATTCTAAAAGTTGATGTTTTTGTACATATTTTTCACAGGTGTGCAGAGGGCGTGCCCGCCCAGAGGTCAGAGGTCTTTGGGGGGGCCTGACCTGGAGATTAGACAAGCATCAGCTTCCTTGTGCCCTTCACTGTAGCCGAAGTTGTTCTCTGCCTTCAGGTTGGGCGCCGCGCGCTCTGACATCACGACGGTGGGCGCCTGCTGGGTGCTGCGTGCCTCCCCGACATCGTTCACCTGGCAACAACACCCACAAACTGCACATTTTATCCAGATCAAGGAGGTGGAGGCGACGAAGCAGAGCGTCAGATCATAAATGGAAAACTTACATGAATCTCAGGGACACAGTGAGAAACACAGAAAGCAACAGAAAACACTTGAGCAGAATAACGGAGGAGTGTAGGGACGGATGATCCAGCACTGAGTGAAAGGAAGGAGTGGAAATGACAGACGAGCCAGAGGAGCTAATCACAGGTGAAGGGATGCAGCTGGCGAAGGGAGCAAATTGAATAATGAGAAAAGAATCATAATGTTTAGAATGTGATTATAATGTCAGTCACCTGGTAAAAAAAATCCTGATTTACGCTCAAACGGCAAATAAATATGTTGTGTTACAGGTTGAAAGTTTGACGTCCATTCAGAAAAAAAAAAAGAAAGACAAAATAATCTGTCAGAATTTCCTCTGTTCCAATATGGCTGCCACACACAAAACAAGACTGAAAAGTGAAATGCATCTGCCCACTCTGCTCAACAGAGTGGGCAGATGCATTGCAGCTGTTTTGTTTTTTCCTTTCTTTATATTTCTTTGTTTTCAGTTGACTTGCAGTGGATGTGCAGAATGTCACATTAAAAGTGAAAAACGATTCATCATCATCTCATTGATACACCACAAAAACCTGACGGTTAGAGAATATCTCATGCTTACAGTAGGACCAGAGCACATATAACACATTTATTCACACACATTGTGATGCAGCACCATTCACACACTTCAACAACTATTCTTCCTGTTGGATTCTGTCATCTACGTCACCAAAGCTGTTCCTACTTTAATGAAATGAGGCCCGACTCTGTTTATTTTAACCAAGGGTCACGTTGACCGATACAAATATTCAAAAACCTGCAAGAATGCCTTCAAATGACACATGAAGCTGATAAAACCGTTCACCACAGCAGCACACAGATTGCTCTGAGCCTTTTCTGCTCCCTTTATTAATTCAAACACAGAGCAGAGGCTGTTCTGCTCCTCGCTGCTGCATGAATGCACACAGAAAGCCTGCAGTGCACACAATTGTTTAATAGAGTGGATTATTTGGTGATAATAACGTGTCTTAAAACACTCTTCTTTTTAGTCATATTTGATATACGTATATAGCCTTTGAACTGAATCTAACAGTTATTTGATTGTGTCTTGAAAACACATTGTTCTGCCCTTTAAAGCGTCTTCCCCTCATGGTTCCTGCTGATCCGTTTAGTTCCTGCTCTGCGGCTCTGCAGGAACTTCCAGAGAGGCTTCAGGTAACATAGTGGGGTCAACTTTTACAGTAAAGGCACCAAAACCATATCCTTGCATCTTTTTGGAAAAGATACATTTAGGACATAACCCTTCTCTTCCTGACCCAGTGGTAAACTCTCACTCAGCCTGTAGCTGTGTTTCCGTTAACCAGAGAAATTACAAAAATAAATTGGCTTAATGGAAACATAAAAATCTAGAAACCGTTTTTCTATAAAATGTTTTTAAGTATTCAGATGTATCAGAATACATGTATTTCATATAACTGTAATTTTTTACATCACACATGATCAGCAGCCAGCTATTACTACTGGTGGAAACAGTGAATAAGACGCCAGCTGTTGAGAAAACCAGCTGCATTCCCTGCGTAAAAACCCCCACAATTTTGCAATTGTGTTTTTTGTGTTTTCACTAAATGGTTTAATATAATGTAATATTTATGAGTACTGCTGGCGACGGGTCTTCTGCTCCCAAAGTCATCTTTGATCATGTTTAATAGAAACAATATGTGTCCTTTGCATTAATATTAGTCATCTGATGCAGTTGAAGCATGAGACCTTATGACAGCTCTGACACGCGTCTTCCTTCCCTCCAGCCTCCCCTGAGTTTCACCTTAAATCCTTTGAACAAGCAGCTGAGCTAATTCTCTGAAAGAAAACACAAACAAATCTTCCCACTGCGTCCGACAAGACATGTATGTTATTAGAGGGAATGCGGGTGCATCTCCACATCATCAGAAATATACAAAGAAAAACGTTGCACTCACAAGAATAAAAAGCAAATAAAATGACAGTGTGGTGCAGTAAAACTGAAACTGCAGGAAGTAATTAAAAAATGGTTTTGGCTACAATGTAATTTAACACAGAGAGAAAAATGTCAACTTCAAAGGCCAGAAGAACTGTCAGCCTGATCTGATCTCCACTCCACTCTTACTGCGGAATGCAATATTAAAGGCTTCTTGTGTTTGACCCATTTCTGCATGGCTGTGCAGTCAAACAGGGTTAGGGCTGATGTGGGAGGAACGGCGCTTGTTGAAACTGATCTGATGAATGTGGTGTCACAGGCTCATGCTCAGTGTGGGGAAAATAATCCAAGGAAGCTTATCCTCTGGAGGGACAAATTTAGTTCACTTTCTGCTTCTCAGACTGCCTACTACTGTATAAGAAAATGAGAAAATGAACTGTAGTTCAGTAAATTGTGTCTGGGATTCAAATAGCAACATATGGGTTTTCGAAATTATTTTCCTTATTTTTCTGCGTCCTGTGTGTCTTAAAGCTTTTTCCTCTTATTTGAAACAAAAATGGAGAATGTGAAACAAAAAAAAAATCATGTTTTACTCAGAAACTGATCTGATGAGGAACCTTCACAAGTTGAATCATTTAGTGCCACCTCACTCTGTGGGAATGCACACAGCAACACAACCCTTTCTTTACATTATACATGAGCCATACATTATATATGCTTCCCTGCAAGGCAAACGTCTTCACTGCGATACAAGAAAGCCCCAGAACAGGGCCTGCATCTCAATGGAGAGACCCTGGACACGATGAGCAGGATGTACCTGGCTGGATGAGCCCATTCAGTTCGCTGCTTCGCTTTGTAGCAGTCAGTGCAGAGACGTTACACAGTCACAGCACAACGGTACTATGATGAGTTCTTCCCTGCTTTCATAGGACTGCAGTCTGATAGACTGTGAAGTACCAGCATCAGAAAGAGTAAAGTGTAGCTCACAAACACTTTGTTGAGATCCCTTTGATCAGGCCTGCAGGTTTCCAGTCATAAGACAGATGTGTGCTCTCTACCTTCTGAATAACAAACCAGAAGGTATTGTGGAGAACTATCCTTCTCCATGCTAAGTTCCTGATGAATGATGTTGAAGAGTCAGTGAGTTTAATTCATGAATTCCATTTATTAATACCAAAATACCACAGCACCATCTCACATGCTACCTTTAGGAGCTAGCAGACAAAATGGCACCCAGAAACAGTTAGCGATTCCTCTTGTTAGCTTCTATCTAAGCTATGCACTAAGGAGGGCATTCCCTACTGTGTCATATCCTTTAACCCTGGCTTTGAGGGCATTTGCTACAATTTCATTTCCTTTGGTTTTACCTTTGCAACTAGAAGAGGCAGAAGGAAAAATATAATTATTTATTCTCAATGGTATCCTGAAGCTCTCTCTAAATTCTCCCTAGGTGTGAGTGTGTGTGAGTGTGTGTGAGTGTGTGTGTGTATATAGTTGTTTGTCCTGTCTCTGTGTTGACCTGCGACCTGTCCAGGGTGACCCCGCCTCTCGCCCGGAATGTTTGCTGGAGATAGACACCAGCACCTCCTGACCCCATGAGGGACGAAGGTGTTAAACAATAGATGGATGGATGGATGGATGGATGGATGGATGGATGGATGGATGGATGGATGGATGGATGGATGGATGGATGGATGGATGGATGGATGGATGGATGGATGGATGGATGGATGGATGGATGGATGGATGGATGGATGGATGGATGGATGGATGACCCTGAAGTCCAACAACTCACACATTACAGATGTACACGTAAACACAGTCTCTTCACTTAGCTGGCTGTCAACAACACAGTTAGCAAATCTATAGATGTTTTTCAAAATCACACGTGAAGATTAATATAATCATATTATTAATCATCATCTATAGACACTGATGAGATTCATATAAGATGTATTCTTGTAGATTTTAGCTGCAAAGCTCTTCCTGATCAGGGTTGAAAACAACACAGATCTGCCCAACTCCAAAAAAACCCACAACCAAAATCTCAACCTCTAATGAAATTTATGTTGATAGCATCAACATAATAATGTTTACTTGCCCACACTGGGCTAAACATTGTCGGTTTTCATTTTAAATTGGTTTTATGCAGCATGCGTCTTTGCTGTGCTCTGATGCGCTGTTCTGCTCACTGTCAGGAGGGGCGCAGTTGTTCCTGAAAGAGGAGTTTATAGTTGAAGCACTGAGAACAGGGCGTAAAGTGGGGCACACACCAATCACACTGTCGGTGCTTCACACTGCTTAGTAGCTGCATCAGCACACTAAGCAATCCTCAACCTTATGCAGGAAATGTTTGTGTGACAGATTATGAATTCCAGAAATATTAATCTTGAACTTGCTGCAATAACCATGCAGTCAGTTCCTTTATCAAGGTTTTCTGACCTTTATATCATAAACATTTTTCTAAAATGAGCGCAGTGCAGTGTAGCTGTTATCTCCCTCCTGGTTAATGATCAGTCAGAGTGAAACTAAGGAGTGCCAGTTGTGTTCTCTGACTCAACAAGGCATGATAGCTGCTGAAACTCAGTGACCACAACATATAAAAACAAGGTCAGCATTAGTCTTCAGGATATAATGACAGTTTTTGGGATGGACTGTGTGGCTTGATGATTTTGTTCATTCTTAACTCTTTGGTGCAACACATTGATTGAAAATTGATTTATTGATTTCATATTTATGTCTGTTTGTGTAAGGCTGCGATGGAAGAGCACTGAAAGCAGCCCTTTAAACCATCCGGACAACCAACACAACACAAACACAATCAAAACTGTCAGACTGCTGATTTTCTGATAACAGTAACTCAGAAGTAGTCCAATAATTTGAATGTATTTTTCTTTCTTTCCTGCTTAGCTAAAGTTTCTGTTTATATTATTGGTTTGTGGTGCATTTTGAGACTAAAGAAAAATCTTTAAAACTTCTGATATTTCACAATGTTATTAAAACACATGGAAAAACCTTATATAATAGCAGAAAGTATGATGGCACGGCTTACAGTATTTCATTATGTTACATAACCTGAATAGTACGTTATTGTGAGAGAACTCAAAAGTATTGTGAGGGAACGCAATACGTTTGCAAAGTACTAAAAAAAAAAAAAACTCCCCATGTTCTCTAGAAAGCCCTGTAGTCTAATCTATGTCTCTCACTGTTGAATTTTTATTTTTATTTTTTTAAACACAGGACATGACATTAAGCAGCACAATATTTTAGAGTGATAAATTAGGGGCTCAATCACAGAACATTTCACATGAGATACACCTAATCTTATCATTAGATGTATAAGATTAATCTTACCATTAATTATTTGTTCAGCTGAGAAAGACTGCAAGAAAAACAAGCATATCCTCTGAAGACGTGTTGAATGTTATCATTTACAACCGGGAATTTTTTGCATGCGCACAACGCTGAAGGGTTAAAAGACTATTGTTTTACCATAGCTGCACTGCCATGGTAAGAAAATGAAACCTGGATCTGTAGCTAGTATTAATTTAGTGCAATGTGCCACAGAAAAGGAATAGTAATAAAGAAAAGTTGTTGAAGAGTAACTGAAAACCACTCATACTCTTTTTCCATCTATCTGTGTCAGCTTTACGTTGCACATATACCTATTGTCATAGCGACTGGCTGACAACAGCTCTACCAAAACAAATGCAGATATTTTCCATTTCAGGTTTTTAGGCTTGATGTTTATTTTGTGATTATTAATAAGTGATCATCTGAACACAGCAGTGGATTGTTAGCCAATTTAAACACCTGCTCTGTTGATGATCTGTTAAAGATTTGGTGTGTTGGTCACCTTATTTATTTTGTTATCTGAATCCAAACACTAAATTCTGCAGCACATCTAGACGTTAAGGTTGTCAAAGTCAAGCTAGCATAACTGACCATCCTCCATCTCCCTAGCTATCCTTAATTATTCAAACTTGTTACTGACCTGTCTAATGTGATACTCTTGGACCTTGTTATTTGTCATTGTGTCGACAATAAGTAGCAAAAAACTGCATCCCTTTTCCTTTTATAAATACATACAAGGTTCATCACATTATACTGACAACTTGACATCTGAAACCAACCATAGACATCGTCATTGAGCAATTCTTTTCCCTGCAGCAGGGAGCTCTGGGGTGTGTGTGGAAGAACTCCCCCCGGTTCTTCCACACGTGACGTCATATTGCAATGTGTCTATAAAAATCAGTAAGGAGAGAGAGACACACTCACCCAGTCCAGAACATCATGCCCGTCTGACAGCCTGACCATCGGCTCATCCCACAAGATGTTTGATTTTCCATGGCGCCAAATCTTGCTGCGGGTCTTGTAGGCGTAGTAAGCAGAAATAGACAGCGCTACAACCACCAGCAGGCCTAGAACAAACCCCACTGCCTGAACAAAGGAGAGTTAGATGTTGGGATTTATCCAATCAAATCAAACTGGTTTGTAAAAACAAAACTACCAAAGAACAAAATGGAGTAAAATTACCTCCTCAGGGTCCATGAAGCAGTAGTGGTAAAGGTATTGATTGTACAGGGGAAAGCCTCCAGGGAAACCGGCCCCCACACTGCCGCTCAGACTCGGGGTCCCCTGGATGTTCTGACACATCCTCAGCATGGGGTTATACAGCATGCTCTGTGAGCTCTGAGACATGGGGTTCACCCCGATCACAAAGATGATATCGATGATACCCTGAAAGCCAAAACAGGCCCATTTAGTCACAGCAGGTTTAACCATTCCCTCAACTTCATAACACAGACAAAACCAGAGACTCCCTGTGTTACTTCTAATCATGTTATCTGAAGCCAAAAGTTTCAGTCTGTCACTACTTTCTGGGGGCAATGTTGGAAAATGTATTGATGAAGCTTGAAGCTGCGTTAATCAATAGTTATGAAACTAATTTTGAAAGAGATGGATCTGACTAGTTTTTTCCTTTAAAGCTCCAAAAATGTATGAGTTCTATGTAAAGAGAATCCCTGACCTCGTCCCTCACCCCAATTAGACCGAGATCTGAGAGCCAAACTTTCAAAAATAATGGCCTGAGTGAGTCTTTTTACTGGAACATAGATCACACGTAATCCTAGAAAGTGCCCCGTATCTTGTTATGATATTGTGTGTTGTGTTTTTAGAACCCACCTGAAGAACAGCCAGGATGATGTCACAGATGAAAATGGTGAGGTAGAACCTGCACCCTCGCATCATCCGGGACCTGGAGAAACTTCCCACCAGGAAACTCAGTGAAACCAGGAAGTTGATTGCTGCCATGGAAATCATCGCTGCCTTAGCCGCCTGCGGCGTCATATAGGAGCCACCGTAGCCGTAGCTGCCTCCATAATAACCTGAGCCAGCTCCGCCCACAGAGACTGTGTCCCCAACACCGTATCCCCCGTACCCAAACCCATTCATGTCCCACACCAGAGTTGAAGCCACGCAGGCAAAGATAAGGAAGCACATGAGGGCTGTGGTTCCTTGGAAGGTTTTAACAAAACCCGGAGGAGAGAACCACCTGTAGAAGTGCTGCGGCTGCCCCTCCATGTAGTAGGAATCAGGAGGAGGCTGGTGGGTGTAGGAGACATACTGGTTCTGACGGGAATGGACGCTTCTTGGGGGGTAGAGACTGTGGGAGGTGGTGCTGTACGGAGGACTGTACACAGGGGGGCTGTCATAGTACCGAGGCTCATACATATTTCTGGGAATATTCCTGGAACAGAAAGGAAATTTTGATCAAAACTAGTCAGCAAATCAAAACATTTGGCGTACTGGAAATGTATTCATATGCTATGAACTTTTTCATATTTTGTTACGTTTGTAACCACAAACTACAGTCTGTCTTATTACGCCAAAATTGCAGAGGGCATAATTGTGAAGTTAGAGAAATAAGTATTGTTTTGAGATTATGTGAAATTAAAGATCAGAGAAATGGATTGTGCTTCCCCACAGCATGATGCTGCAGATATAATGTTGCTGTGAGGACAGAGTTTTCAGGGCAATTTTACTCACTGCAACAGTGCTAATTATGGCCATTTAGAGATCATTCAAATGATGACTGTGGAAATATAACATCCAATCAATTATTACATCCAATCAGTTGTTTGAAATATTGCATTTCTTACAATTATCTTTTCCCCTCCACTTTGCAACTATGAACTACTTTGTGAGAGTTATTGCCAGGGGAGGAGATAGAGAGAGGACCAGCACTGACATCAAAAGAAAAAAGAAAAAACATATATTTAAAACCAGAGAAACTGATCATTTTGAGTGGTTTCTATATAGTGTATATATCAATAGTGTATATATACACTAGTGTATATATCAATAGTGTATATATATATATATATATATATATATATATATCTGGTTCTCTGGTTTTATTTTCTATAGGTACATGTTTGAATAAAACAAGCATTGTTCTTTTACTGACAAATTATCTCCAAAATTTCAAGCAAAAATTTAGTGTTTAGTTGCAGAAAATGAGAAATGATCCAAATAACAAAAAAGGTGCAGATTTTTCAGACCTCAAGTAATGCAAAGAAACCAAGTTCATATTTATTTAGAAACAATACTAACGTTTCAACTCAGGAAGAGTTCAGACATTAATATTTGGTGGAATAACCCTGAATGGAGTTCTTGATTTTCTCCAGAGCTGTATAGAAGCATCATCAAAGTGATTTAGGTAGCATGTGTATGCTTCATAATGCACCTCCCTGCTCCTGAACCGCCTCCACACTCCCTCCAGTATTGATGACCCGCACCTTGTCTCCACAGAAGAACTCAACCCAGCAGGCTTCAATTATTCAGACAGGCAGCAGAGAGGAGGCAGAGCCGGGGCAACCATGCGTGTTGTTTACTGCAGGAAGTGTGTGTGGCCCCCTGTGCTGCTTCTTCACTGTGTGACACCTGTTGGGCCCTGCCGGGGGCCAGCCAGCCACGAGAGGCAAAGCCCCGATATAAGATGAGCCAGCTGGGTCAGAACTGTCTGAAGCTGCAGGTCAATAGTGTATCTTACTTCTGGAAACTGAATGTCTCAATTGGACTTGACATGACAACATGTTAGTTTGACAATCTAATGTTTCACTCCTCCTCCTTCCTGGAACTTGATTTATTTTATTCTTAAAGAGAAAGAACTGAACTTATATCTTGCTCCGAAGAAATATTAGCTTTTTTTTATTATTATTTTGTTTTTGCTGAACTTTGTGATACTCTAAAGTTAACAATTGCCAAACTTTTAAAAGTGTTCGATAGAGAGTGGAACATGGCACTCACCCAGCTGGGTCATAGGTTGAGTCGCGGCGCTCCGGGTCTAATCGGTATCCGGTCTGACGGCCGTGAACTGGAAACACGCCTTCAACTCGCATCGGCCCCGTAAACAGACACCTGTGGGGCCGGACTGTGGCAGGTCTCCTCCCAGGAGCCTCTGTGTGTCTGAGCAGGGCCACGGCACAACCCCAGCCCACCGGATCTCTGAGGCTCTCTGAGGCTCTCTGAGGCTCCTGCTCCAACATGTACTCACTTATTACTGTATGACCAATTGCCAGCCCAAGCTTTTGAGGGGCAGATTTAATTTTTCTAAAGTTACTCTATGTGTGTAACACACCTGGTGTCATCAGCATCATTTGAAGTTAGCTTATATCATTCCAGAGTTCTTTTGGGTAAATGATTTATAACAGGAATAACAAACTAAAACAGATATTAGAATTTTGAAACGCAGAGTGTTATTTCGGCGTACCATATTATTTTAACAATTTTAACACTAAATTTGTAGTAAACAAGCTGACAAGTTAAAACCCCAACAGTCATCAACATGAAAAGATTAACCGTTATCAGACTAACAACCATAAAATAGAGAAATAGTTTTTACACGTGTAAAAACTATTTTGCGTCATTCAATGTTATTTTTAAAAATATATATATACGTTTTATCACACTAAGTTAGTGTTCTTGGGCACCTCCTGGTGGTGCGGAGGTCCCTATGCAGCTGCTTTACTCACTTATGCTTTGGACCGACCCTGTGTAGACCTCATCAGCTCAGCCTTCAGATGAATGACTTCTTTAGTTGTTTTACTTAAGTATCCGTAATGTGACTTTATAACTAAGGCAACAAGAATTTCATTATATACTTTTGCTTTGTATATGACTTGGAGCAGGCAGCCCATAATGTCCTTGTTTTTTGTTTATTGTTCTTGTTAGAAGAAACAGAGAAACCATCCATTTCCAAAGACAAACTATTACAGGCAAATTCTTCACTTATAACAAGCAGAACTCAAAAAAGATCCGGTTACACCAACTCAGGAAGGGAGAAAGAATTTCATGTCTTGGGGTCTCTGGAAACTCCGTCTTAATAGTTGGAGTTTCCTCTGGATTGATTCATCTGGAGGAAAAAGAGTAAGCTTTCCATCGTGAGTCAGGTTGGTGAGTCAAGAGCTTGCAGATGAAAAAATGGCTTTTAATGAAGAGATGACAAAATGGAAATTTACAACACAGAATGCCGAGGAACTGAAATAACAGAGGAGCCAGTGTGGAAGAATGTTAACCAGAAAGTTTACATGCACTCAGGGAGAGGAGAGAGAGGCGTAGGAAACAGAGGGACTAATCAGAGGTAAGTAGAGGCAACAAGGGAAGAAAGCAGGCGAAACCAAGTTAGGAAATGTGAAACAGCTGGGAAAGGAAGTAAACTGAGGAAAGCTGAGACACAGGGAACCACAGATAAAGAAAAAATCCTAAAGATAACATGAACTGCAAACACAAATCTAAAGAAACAAGAAACCAGGAACGAACAGTAAAAGTGCTGTTACAGTGCCTCAAGTGGCAGGAGTTCATCCTGTATCCAGTGGTTTGCTGGTTCAAAACCCCGCTCTGACTGTCTCAGTTGTAGTGTCCTTGTGCAAGATGCTTCACCCGCCTCGTCTGGTGCTGGTGGTGCAGGAGCGTGTCAACCTCGCCTCTGTCAGTCAGTAGCCACAGCTTCCCAGGGCACCACCATCAGTGTCTGGAAAATCTGGTTATGTGCTATAAAGAACTGGGATCAGTTGTTACTGTTTATTACTGCATTCGACAACATGGACCTAACTTTGCTTTCATAAGTGCATCAGTGAGTTTTGGTGACCCATGATCCTGTTCAGTTACCATCATCCTCTTTTGTTTGGATCCAACCACTGCAGGCTCAGAATAACCCACATCCTGCCTGCTGCTGTCAGCCACAGGTCATGTTGCTTCACTTTCAGTTCTTAAGCTTAAAAAATATTAAATAAATCATTTATTAGGGAAATTATTTTCAATGGATACAGACCCAATCAATAAAATAGCAATAAAGTTCCTGAAATAAATGAGGCTTTCAGTAATACTCTAAATGAAACATATTATATGGATTCATTCCACAAAACATTAATGTTTTCATGTCCTTATTTCTGTTAATTATGATGACTGAAAAAAAACATTTTAAATTAGACCAATAAAAAAACATATTTAATACAGAAATATGGGCTTAATGAGAAGTTGATGGTAAACAGATCTCATCTGAAGAAATGTAACGAACATTTCTTCATTACATTTCAGCAGATTCCATACCAAGAAGTATCTGGTTTTCAGCTTAACTGTGCTACTTTAGGTTAGTCCATTTGATCTGGTGGCAGGTTCAAAGACTGATACTTTGCTGAATATACAAATCTTCCAGATTGGAAACAAACTGCAAATATAAAAAGTACATAGAATAAAGACAACATTGGAAACATCCGAATCTGTTGAAAGAGAAATAATGTAAAATATATATATATATATCTATAAAAACCGCTTACATTGAAGTTCCTCAGTTCTTAGTATCTCTGAGGAAACAGGAACTGGAGATCTGAAGGTGTTCATAAGGGGAAATATGTTCTTTGGAGTGAAAAACCTTTTGCATCACATATCTAGTCAACACAACAATAAACAACATTTTAAATGACAACATTTGGTGGACCCAGTCATTTCCCATGATTGACTGCAGTCTCCTGGTCATAAACTAGGATTCTGTTTTTAATGTGTCGTAATTTAGCTTTTAGGTAGTCACAGCGTTCCTTCTTCTCCAGAAAAGCAGGATCCTGTAAAACACACGTATTGCATTTTGGTGTTTATTGCTGTAAAATGTACCCGTTCTTTCATTTCTCACTTCCACTCCACCCAAATTGTTTGATTAATTCTGCCAATGATTTCAAATAAAACATCATATAATTTGACATCTGTGAAGAGTTTTTTTTTTTTCATGGGACTGCTGAGCTTATGAAAGTGTTTGTGCAATTGCACAATCTCATCCATACAGGCTGAGCATCTCAAGAGTTAAATCTGTTTTTCAGTGGAATCAATAAAGATAGACAAGTTCATATTTTGTGATGCAATCTCTTCAACTTACGTTTTTTTTGTCTTGATATGTTTTTAAAATATTTTGAATCCTCTGTTGATCCTGTGAAGAATATATAAGTAGATTAGCTTGACAATCTAAATTGGACACCTGGTTTAAATAAACGTGATTTACCCTGTAAGTCCTTAAGCACACAATGGACAATACCATTGTCCATTGTCTTACCTCCAAGCTCTTCCCCTTTCTGGGAAGTTGATTCACCACAGTATCCAGCTCTCTGAACTTATTGAGGGTGGTAATGATGCCTCCATGAAGGTCCTTGTACTCCAGGTACTGGTCATTGAAAACAGCTTTGTATTTTTCCCGTTCCTCTTCAGATCTGATCTCTGGATACTTACTGCAAAGAAACAAGACGGAGCATGTTGAGTACAAATTCATTCTGCCTTTATGCTGTACATGTGATTGCTGTCGATTGTTCAGGTCTGAACTTACATTATGTAATCTGCGACGACATGTATTTTGGGTGTATGATTGGACACAGTGGCTCTGTTTGGGCTGACACTTGATTTGCAGACATTAGGGGGCAGTTCAGGTTGGAAGTCACCGTCTTTATGCAAAGGTTTATCAGGCTCATCCCTAAACGACATCTGTTTTGTTCTCTGTGTGTTTAGGGAAATGGTCTGGTTAAACTCACCCTGCAGCAAAAAGAAAAAGAGGAAAAAAATTTCATTAACCTGAAACACAAACCAGCAAATGAAATGATCTAACATAAATTGCAATATAAATAGTTTCCACAATAGCACAAAATTAACAAAATACAAAAGAGATAGAAAAAGCAAAGGAGAAAGATGCAATTTTCATGATTTGCTCTTATTTGACACATTTAATGGTTTCCTTGACATCAGCTGGTCAGGTTGTGGCTGTGTGGTTGAGAATCCATATAAAACAAAGTCATCTGGTTTAATTGTAATTAATATTCAAATAGATGTTTTTTTAATTAAATTTAGCTACAGATGTTATATTAGACAACATATCAGTAGTACTGCCATAAACTCTCTTCTTTAAATAGACATTTTCACAGTTGGTATGGCGCTGGTCTCATCGTCATGGTACCGACCCAACCTGTCACAAATATTTAGCAAAGCATATCTGCTCGATTTTTTTCACACACATGAAACTCGTGAATTGAATTATTTGAATGGGCGAGTGAACACTTTGGAAAATATAGTTCATTAATTTTAACACCATGTTTGTTGTTGATTAGAGATGAATATGAACTCAAACATCAAATTCTTCTTGAAAAAACTATTTTAGATGATTGATGCATTCTCCATGATAAAAAGCAAAATTCTGTTAAAAACCCAAAATTGATATGACATACTAACTATTTCTAGTAATTATAAACAGATGATGATTTTTTGCTGCAATTGAAAGAAAAAAAGAGGGAAAGTGATGCAAGTAGTTCTCCATCCATCCCATACCTACATCCAAGGAAGGCTGCAGGTTTACCTTTTTGTCAGCGTTGTGCCTGAACTTCCGAACAGCCTCATGCCTCCACATCTTCAGACAAACCAGGAAGCTTCCCAGGTACATGATCATATTGATGAAGAGGAACGCCGTTCCCGCCATCTGGCCTCCATCAACTCGACACAGATTGGCCATGATGTGGTTAACCCCGATCGTCATGTGGCACAGCCCCCCTCGATTCAAGTCATTGATGTATACGATCCCTGCGGCCAGGTAAAGCAGGAACAGGGCCAGGTTGATGAAGGCCTCAGTCAGGGGCCACCAGGAGGAGTCCAGGAGGATGGTTCGATAATACATGGTCATTCCTGTCACTAGCAAACTCAGAGTAATCATCCAGGAGATCCCAGCTACAGATATAACAAAGCCAGTCATAGGCCCTGTGTAGCTGTACCCAGACAGTCCGAGCCTATTGTTGTTTATTCCACTGTAGAGCCCATAGGTGTTGAGCCACTCACTGTCCTTGTGTATGTAGGCAACGACACATGCAGACACCACGCCGCCAAACAGGAGCTGGAGCCCAGCCAGCAGCCTGAGCAAACCCGGCCATGATTTCAAATAGGAGTACTTCCGCTGATAGACCTCCACCTTGGCAGCGTAGTACTCTGCAGGGTGGATGCTGGTCAGCAGAGACTCTTCCTGTGGGCTCTGACAGAAACACTCTGGGGTGGTTTGTCTGAGCAAAGACTTCTTTGAGTCTTCGGTGGAGTTCCCTGACGACTCATCCCAGTTCCTGCGCTCCAGGAAGGGACTCACCGGGGGGCTCACCCTGGTCCCATTGGGAAGAATCTGGATTCCAGTTCTGGGAGTTTCAGAGTCACTCTCTCCTGCACGCTTATTTATGATCCCACCCAGCGATTTAGGAATGAGGGATCTAAGTTTGAAGTTCATGCTCCTTTTGCTGTTTTCGGCATTATACGGAGAGCTGGATGTGTGGCTCATGGACATGCTGTCTTCATCACTGTCGTCCGTTACACTGTTAGGCTGAGGTGTGTGAGTGACCCACACAGGCTCTGCTGGACTGGCGGGGGTCTTGGTGTGAGAAGAAGACCCGTCTTCACCTCCATGTTCTTGCCTCTTGAATTTTGCGCTCCAGTTTCTCATGCTGTGGGAACATTTAAAAGCTTTATGAGGCAAGAATATAAAACATGAGGGCTATTAATATGTGCTTCTAAAATTAGCACCTCTTCCACTGTCAGCTGGTTTAATATTTTTTTTCACTTATTAAAGGGCAGTATTGTGTTTTCCAGCCACATAGTGTCATTTTATAGCACTATCAGGTAACTATGGAAACTTCAGTTGTTATAAAAATGCTGTAAATATCAAATAAGACTTAAAAGAAACTTGACATTGTAATTTAATGCCTTGAAATTGGGCCTGTCACTTTAAGAAACTCTTGTCTGTCTGCTCAGCAGTTCCATAGTTGCTAACTGCTGCTGGCTAGTCTGTAGGAGCTGAGTGAGGGAATCATTGGAGTGGCTCCTCTGTGAGGCAGAAGTTTCATCTTTGAAGGCGTTGCTACGTCTGTCTAGATGTTTTACATAGCTGAACGGTTGCCATGGAGATTAAAGGATTTCTCAAACATGCATGAAAGAATCAAAAAAACTCTGCAGGTATATTATGGAATTACATTATAACATGATGTAAAGGTCAAACATTTTTTATTTTTACATCATTCTGCTCCTTTAACAGAACTTGAGGCTCTGAAAACGTTCCAGTAATGATTCCTTTTGAACTGGTTTCCATTTTGTGTACAAAGTCTGACGTCTTATTGTTGGAGCAACAAGCCACCTATTGGGAGCAGCTAAGGCGTTTTGGGAAAATTACAATTGGTGATTTTACAGAAAAGCTACAGTTTCAACATGTTGGATACAACTGTTTATGAACTGTGTGAAGCTGTGAGCGCTCCAGTGAAGACATCTGCACATTGTTGGAAAAAACAAAAACGACATCATCATCCTTCCACTACTTCCTGTCGTCTTCTTCACCAGTGGCTGTTGGTCACATGATTCAAGAGGCAAAAAAAGTTTCGACGAAGCCAGGAAACCGTCTCATCACAACTCAAAAACTTTTTAATCAGAAAACAAGATTGTTATGTTTTTATTGAGCACATTTATGTTCATAATTTCAAATTGCACAGTCTTGTGATTAAAACGTAGCTACTGTGTCTTTTGGGCATGTATCTTGAACTTTTCTACCTTTTCATTGTTACATTGTAATAATGAAAAGTTGGTAATGTTCACAATAGGACTGCTTCTTCACAGCACTGCATAACAAGAGCTGAGAGATGACCATGAAGCTGTTTCATCAGCGAGTACCACAGTGTACTTTGAAAACCATCAACGCCATTAGTCTGTATTGCTTGGTTCAGAACAGCTCAGAACCCACTAATCACTCCTACAGACAAAAAACAAACATTTCAAATACGTCCTGTTCTCTGCTGTTTTGTGGCAAATCAGAGAAGGAGCCCAGCGGGCCTCCAGTGTAGCCTAAACTAGCCGTGACTCACAGCAACACAGCAAAAACATTTCAAACACAAATCCTCACCTTCTCTGTTTGGCTGCAGCTCTGTGACCATGCAGAGGGTTAAGTAGCTGCTTTCAGAGGATCTGGATAGTTGATAAAAGCAGTAATATGGCTGCGGTGTCCACCAGGCCCAGTCTCTCAGTTGACTCACTACAGGTTTCAAACAAGGCAACAAGCCAGAGTGTGTGGGGAGCTGTGAGGGGAGTAAACTCTTAATCATTAAGCCCTGACTGCGGCTGTGCAGCTGCCGACTGGCACTGTGTGGTTAATCTGTGGGAGAGAAAGACAGATAGCAGCAGGGAATCTAACTGGTGTTCCCTGCAGGTAAAAAGTGTTAATACCTTCCAGACTTCCTGGAAATCACATTGATGCTGATTTCTTGATTAGAAAAAGAGGAGAAAACTAATTTTCTACCTGCTTCATAGGCTACTGGGTACACATGAAACCCCAGGAGGTTTATTAGTATTAAAAATATCACATTGAATTATCAGCTTCTGCAGAAGAGTAGACATTTTCTGGGAGTCAATATTTTATACAATCTGCATATTATCAGTCACATCCCATTTAAAATACTGCTTTATCATTCTTTTATTAATGAATAATTCATCTCCATCTCAGCTGTCACATTGTGCTACACAGAGCTGGCTGTGGCCACTAGAGGGCAGCAAACATCTTCAGGTTACAGCCTCTCTTTCCCATCTCATGCTGACTTGTCTCTGTCCAATTTGCAGTGCTTCTTTCCCATGTTTACGGCTTTATAGTTTTTAATCCGTCGCCCTTTGGCAGTGCATGGTTACATAAGATTACAAATAAATGCAGCAAAGAGAGTTTATTGACTATATGGGGTTTTTAATTTGGTTTAGTGTTTCCAAAGAGCAAACAGCAGCAGGTGAAGGTAAAGAAACATCTCATCTGTAAGTCCCCCTTGGTCACGTTACATATCTGCACTTCAACATTGAGTCTCACCCTTGAACACGTCACTGGCCCAGAGACTTGTACTGCATGTGTATCTGTTCTGTGCCAGCGATCCTTCCAAAAACAGCATGGGTTTTCATCAAGCTTGAGGCAAGGACATCTGCAGTCCACTCCCCACTGCCCTTCTGGAAAACACACATTCAGGAAGACTACAGAACGCTTTGTTGATACAATGCAACCAAGACATATAATAAAACTCAAGCTCTCTAGAGGGAGTCCCAGCAGTAGTCTTGGCCCGGGGCTCGCTCGTCTGCTGCTGCCCTGCACTGCTCTTCTGTCCTGCAAATACTAGGAACTCTGTATTAGTCCCATCCAGTGCTTGTGGCGGGTCGTCCGGCACTGGCATGTGAAGCTCTGCTGAGTGATGGAAGCTGTTAGTGCAAACATCCATGACTGTTTATGTGACAAAGTCAGTCAGTTTTTTTTTTTTTTCAGATCCTGCATAAAGTGTAAGATGGGATCATAGATCTTCACTTTCTGGTCTTGGCTGAAATGCTTCTGTCATGTGAACGACACCCTGATAAGAATTATAGGACTCTCCCTGTACACTCAAGCACATCCTGACTCTGGGTGAAAGCGTGTTACTGTGGAATGTGATCAAAATGAAAAATCTGCATCCTGGATGTTTAGATGGACAAACGCTCTGCTTCTTTTACAGGTAAATGAAGCCGGGGAACTGAGGCAGCTTTCAACACGCAGGAACATTGATATCTGTTTATTCTGCCTCAGATCTCTCAGAGGGAGGGAGGGGTGAGAAAGAGTTAAAAAATGTTGAGTGCTGAAAGAAATTATAATGAAAAGGCCTTTGGTGGAATGAAAAGGTCGTCCACAGCCACTCCCCGACAGACAGTGAGCATTAAAGTGGCCAAAAAGCAAAATCAATACACCGATTCGCTCTGATTTTCCCAAGTGTATGTCTAACCACATTAGCTGAAGGCGATATGAGGGTATTAAGTGTATGCAACCGTCCACTGCTCCCTCTTTGGTTATGCAGACAGAGAAGTGTGGGCTGTGATAAATTTAATAAATTAATAAAAACTTTCCTCTTGTCTGCCACAAGCTGTTCCCAAAGGATCTTTTCACAGCGAGATGAACCTCAGCTTCCTCACACACTGACTTGTGACATACAGTCCAACTGTATCAGACATCATGTAGCTTTTTAAAATGACAAAAGCAAAATCAACTTGTTATGCAAGTTGTAAACAGTCTGGCTTCCTGCGTTGTTCTCCAGCGTTCAGGCTGCTGCTTTCCTTTGTGGCGTTTTCTCACTGAGTGTTTGGAGGTTCGAAGCTGCCATCCAGACTTTTCTTTATTTTCTGTCAAATAAATGCAGTTTGTTTTGGACATAATGTGGCACTGAGCGAACATGTTGCTGTCTCTGTTCTGTTTTGCTGTCAATAGTTAACTTATTCAAGATTTAATTTATCCTCCCAAGATGGGGATTTGTCTGTGGTGACGTGGCATAAGGATCTGACGGAACTTCTTCTAAAGACGTTCATTTGTGTTTTGCTACTTCTTTCTTAATTCCTTACATGCTTAAAATGTATTTATTTGTTGTATTGTGAGCTGACGCAGCAAAACATTACAACCATATTGAGCTAAAATGATTAATTGGACAAACTGATTTGTAAAATAATTGTAATTTAGTAATTGATTAATTATTACAGGCATTTGATCAATATGCAGACTCAATAACGGATATCTGCTGACAGAAAAACATTATCAAAGCAGTAATTATGCCAAAACTGTACAAATCCTAAATGTTGCATTTAAAAATGCAACAGATGCATCATTTGCTACAAATAATTACACATTCACTAAAGGAATACTGTTGTTGCATTTCAGGCAATAAAATGTTTAACTGAACTGAATTCTTTGCATTTTTAATATTGTGTTATAGAGGCTGAAGTGGTTAAATAAAGCATCTGCAGATTTTAAAAAAAATCCAATTAATTGATTATTTGTCAGAATAATCATGAGTTGCAGCTGCACAAACGTGTGTCTCATTGTCAGCAGGGAGTCTGGCAAAAACAAACCACATGAAAAGTCTTGGAGGCAGAATGCAACCGTGAGATTTCACTGTTGCAGAGCGTCAAGCAGATTTGTCATGAGTTCAGACGACATACAGTCCAACTCTATCAGACATCATGTAGCTTTTTAAAATGACAAAAGCAAAATCAACTTGTTATGCAAGTTGTAAACAGTCTGATTTTAATATCAACAGATCTGTAGCAGCTCATTGTCACTGGGATCAGACTGTAAACCAAACACATGAGACTGAACCTCCTGCAGCCTGAATGATCCTGAGTTTATGACTAAATCCATCGATTGTTTCTCTCATGTACTCTATTAATGCTCAGCTCTTCTTCCTCTGGTGATGCCATTGACTCAAATGCACACAAAGAAGAATTAGCATTTCATTCTTCAGTGCATTTTTAAAAAGTTTTGTATTTTGTGAAATCCTGCACTGGAAATCTACAGTTTATTAGCCAGATGTGTTTCAAATTATTAGCATATGTCTTGGTAAAAAGTAAAAATATAAAACCTTCATTTAGCTTCTCATATTAACATCATTTATGTTGTTACAAAAGAAAACAGCTGAATGTTTAGGATGCTATCAACACCGGGCATTTGCTGTAACCAGACTGATGTGTTATTTTCCCCCCATTTTTATTTGCACTGCAAAGCAAGATTTTAATCTGGTTCACATTCAAAGTCTTAAATGATCTTTGCCATCCAGGAGCAGCCAGAACATCATGAAGTGTGCAGTGGAGCTTTTCCTGGTGTCTCTCCTGCTGCATGTGTCTGCATGGGGTTGTGAAGCAACAACTATAGGGTGAATGACTCTGCCACTCTAGTGGGATATCGGTCCGCTGCCAAATCCCTGCTGAATTGACTGTAATTAACCAGGCTGAGCCTTGTTTGTGCATGTGGACATGAATAGTAGCTTGTTATCTGAGCATTAATGGCACCGTGTATGAATGTGGGTGTTGCCTGCAGTTCACAGTTCACCCTGGAACAGCGCCCCGACAGCTGCGCGCCCTTCTGAGCACTGTTTACATCTTTATCAATACGTTTTTCTGTAATCATGTTTTAGGATTGCTTCACAGTTTCATGGGAGAGAAAAAAAAAATCTGTGATGTCTGTATCTGTCAGCACATTTTGCCAACGATCCTTTCGAGTGTGACAGTTGGTGTTAGGCTGCTGAACTTCCCGTCCTCGTGGGAAGGGGAATGTGAAATAATGCAGCAATTATTGTTTTGAAGAAAAGGTTCATGTTTAACACCAAAGAAAACAGGGTGATAGTCATTGCTGAAAATGGTTTTAATGAGTAGAATTTCTTCTTACTGAGACAAAAATTCACCTGCAAAATAAAACAAACAAACAGTGAAGAATATACTGGAAACACGGCTATTCCGTTTGCCATCCAGAAAAGAGTTGATTTATTCCAGTGCTACAATGTACATTATGCATCATGTGGCAGTGTACACAGAACAATGACTGGGTTACAGTTTTACTGTTGCTGGGATGTGTTATTATTCAGCTGAGGTATGTACTGATGCCTCTTCTGCAGCTGGTCAGGATAATGAAAGTGTCTACCATGCTTTCACCTTCACTCATCTACAGTTGTAAGAATAACATCATAAATTCCTTTCATTTGAAAAAAGTTATAATTTCCTTCTTGAGAAGTGAGAAATTGTGACTGGTGTTTCCACAGGTTTTCATTTGTGTAAGAACAAAATGAACTTTTTCAGCAGAGGCTGTTACCTCCCAGCTTCCAAACTTAAAATGAAACAATTATCATCTTGTTGATCTTCATTGTAAATCATTCAAATACATTTCCTGGTAGAGTTAGCTACCATAATTAGTATCCAGAAGGATCTGTTTTGGACATCACTTTAAACGGGACCCAAATCAGTCCTTACTCTTTGCAAATCCACTTGGAAAGACAAGATGTATGCTGAGCGGCTGGTATAACCACCTGGCCTAGTTCAAACATACATCATTCAGCATTGTTCAATTCTGCCCAAGGCAGCGACAAGACATGGTCTGTGTCAGGTACAGAGAGGTTCAAGTCATTTTTCTGAAATTGAAGTTGAGTTTGTAGTCTTTTGTCTGAGATTCAAATCAACACTGAGGTTTTTCACCCAAAGATGAATGAAGTCTTAATTTGGGGGTCAACTCAAAGTCAGACCTCAAGACTCTTGTAGGAGCCATGTATACGTTGTTTAGAACTTAATACAAAATTGTATTTTGTGTTTATGTGAGTTTCACTTTTCAGTCTTTTATTTGACAAAGATAAGCATTTGTAATTGTATTGTGCTTAAACTTGTTACGTGGCACCTTTTGATTGGTTGTTGTCTGGTTAGTTTATAAAGACCAGAATTGACTGACTGCTCATTGTAGAAGTCTGGCACCTGGAGTAACACAGTCTTTTGACCGTCACTTTCTATTTGTTTTGAATCTGATTATTTTTATTTATTTTTTTCTGCTCAGTAAAGACTTAAAGCTGACCGCCAGATTCAAGACCTCTTTATTTTTTGAGAAGAAATGTGTCGCGTACGAAGGAGCTTTAAGGGGCTAGACTAGTGAGAGCTTGCCCCACTTACAACTCTAATGTCTGAAATCAACATTTTCTTATCAACATTGCACTGCTGTAGGTCAGGAGCTCATCTCATGGTTTACTGATCTTTGGGCCAAAATCAACCAAAACAATAGAAATACATTTTAATATTTAACACACAATTCAACAAAAAGGTTAGGGGCCAATTTGAATTGTTTAAGAAAATGAAAGGTGAAACATTTACCCTATTAAAAATTATATGTAGAATTCAAGGGAAAGTAAAATAAAACAAATCTCCATGTGGAATTTCTGAATGAATTAAGAAAAGTACTTTTCAGTTTCACTTTGTGATGATGTATTTATCATCTGTTAATCCTTGTGTTCGCATAGTGCACTCTTTATTTTGTTTCTAACAGAGGATTATTAAAATGGTTTAGAAACTTCACAAACAGGAAGTATCTTTGTAATGACACAACTAGCTTAACACAGAGAGAATAAGACATTGGCTGTTTTGTTTATTTTATTCTGAAACTATCCAAAATCACTCAACACGACACAGAGCCTGCTGATCCTCACCCTCCTTTATGACTGACTGCTGTCTATAAGACATCACTTTAGTTCTGACTCTAGCTCAAGACCCAGCATCGTTTTGCAAAGCAGTCCAGATCCAAACCCATCACTGGTCGCTTCTGTTCCATGTTTTGTCGGTAACACTTTATTTTAAGGGGTGTGGATAAGACTGACATAACAGTGTCATATATATGTAATAACAACAGTCATGAACATGGAGAAGTCTTCATGAATGTTGTCATAAAGTATCATTTGGTAAATAATGACACTTTTAATCCAAAGCTGAACTAAAAGTTGCATTAAAAGTGTAAACTTTGTATTAAAAGTTGTATTATTTACCAAATGACAACATGACAAGTCACATTTATGAAGTCTCCTTCATGTTCAGGACAGATGCCGTGTCAGTCTTATGCACACCCCTCAAATAAAACGTCATCATTGTGTCAATTCAGAACATTCCTTCCGGCGTTACCTCGGTATTTGTCAGTAACTGTATTTACATGGTTTATGTTTTCAAGTGGATTAATTGGACCCAAGTGCCTTCTCTCAGACACTTCCTCTTTTTTCTGTTGAGCTTTTAACATCCACAATGTCAAATTTGCAGAACACCCATTTTCACTCTAAATTCATTTGAGTCGAAAATAATGTCTGTCATTAAATATTCAATGGGTCCATTCAACTTTTCCTTCTCTCCAGGGTTTACAATCAATCCGTCTTACAGTATTTATGTATCTGTAAAACACAAGTCATGATTTTTTTTTTTATTGTAAATATTTGAGTTCCCCTTCATGAAGGATATCCTTCCATCATTCACCTTCAATCAGGGCTGTGCTCAATATTTTCAGTATTGGGATAGAGGTTAGTGATGTACAGGAAGAGGCAACAGTAAAGTGTCATTATTCATTAACTCAAGTTGTGAGGGAAAAAAACCCAGACAGTCTTGCTTGATTAAGATCCACTCAAAAAACCCTCAAGTTTAAGTTCAAATGAAGTGCTCTCTGGTCAGTCGAGGCTGAAGGAGATGTGACGTTTTCACCGATTCTCTTAATTTGACTTGGAATCATTTAACGAATGCTGGCAGACTTATTGGTCAACAAAGTAGTTTTTTTAATGTTACCATCCATTTTTATATAAACAAGATGCTGGTATTCTAGCATTAGCCGTTATTTTGTAATAGAAAAGGATGAAATCTGTAGCCATTAATGCTTAAAGAACCGGTCCATATATTTGCTTTTCCACTGAGCGTTACCAAGTGACAGGTCTGTACAGTAAATACATCCCCAGCTTCTGCTAGTTAGCTTAGCAGCCTAATTAGAGAGTTGTTGTAACATTGTGACCACAGTAAGTCAGTTTTACATTCAAGGATGGCATAAACAACGTGCATTATGTTCAATAGAGACTTGTTTTAGAAAATCATATGTTGATTGCCAGATGTACAAGTTACAAATTACACTCCACTGAGCTTTTTATGGGTGAACATATGTCTGATGCCCTCCTCACCCCCACACACCCGGGGCTTTGCTTGCAGTATCAAGGGAACTTCTTTAGTCTGCTGTGGTAAAGACAGAACTCCCCACCAAGAAGAAAAGTAAAAAAAAAAAACTAAAAAAAAAAAAACTAAAGACAAAACAATGTTGTTGTTTTTTTTATTGTAAATATTTGAATAATAATAATAATATAAAGAAAAGTGACACAAAAGCTAAACGTGAATATGAGGTGAACTAAAGTAGTGTGATGTCCTTCAAAATGTTTGAACTCAATAAGGACGACTGGTCAAACAGAAACAGCCATAAAAAATGCTGCGAGATCAAATCGCAGGAGGGATAACCAGACATCTCCTCTACTCAACGACACCTTATGGAGATTGCAAGGTGTTCCTTGGCCAAATGGAGTAATTAATCCCAGCAGCAAGTTTCCAGTCTTCCTTAAGATCTTCCTACAGTGGAAAATGCCAGGAGAAGCTTAATAGGGAAGGTGACTAGGATGCATCCTTTTCAGATTTTAGGACCATGTACACTGACCACCATCAGAAGTGGAAAAGCAGCAGCTCTGCATTCAACATTCCTGAACAGTCAAGCCACGCTTTGCTTTTTAAATTAGGCTCTTTCTTCATTATCGCAGAAGAAGCCCTAATCCATCTGTTCATCTCCCATTCCATCCTCCCACCATTTGTGAACAAGACCCCAAGAAACTTAGGGTGGATTCACACCAGCATTATTTAGTCTGTTTTTGTCAAACTGTGGTTAATTAGCCTAGAAAGTGGGGTTTGTTTGGGAAAATATAAATGTGCAATCAAACTCTGATGTGGATCAAAAAAGTGAACTCTGGTCCGTCTTCAGACCTGGGTCTCAATTCGGTTGAAGTGAAAACTGGTGTTCAAATCCACATGTGATCGCTCCAAAAGCAGGAAGCAGACTATAGGGCAGGGCATTCTGGGTCGTATTTACCCACTGGTGAGTGTGAGTCGAGATTTTAGGGAGAAATGGTTTGTAATCTTTTGCCAAAGACAAAAGAGAAATCCTACAATCGCTAAATGCTGATCCAACTCCAACTTTTTGTTTACATTCTGCAAAGCAGAAAGTTGCTCTCAGAGTCAGGTTGTTCAAAGGATTTCTTTGGATTGACAAAGTCTGAAAGAGAAACAGCAGCTGGAATAACAAATGTTGCACCTTTGGTCTCCAATCAAACAGTCTCACAGACTATCTGACCCCAACTCAGAGGGAGAAGTCTAACTTTTTCCTTGGCCTCAGACTGAAGGTGTTGATCTGAAGAAGCCAATAGAAAGAGACAAAACTGAAGCTTCTTAAGCTCAGAAGCACACAGAGACGCGTCATCATTAGGAGACCAACGGAAATGGAGCTGCTGCTCCTCTACACTGAAAGAAGTTGAAGAGACTGGAGTGGTTTGGAAGAAATACCTCCTGGCAGCCTGGCTCTGAAGGTGTGCTGAGCATTCCCAATGGGAATATTTACATAGCTACTCACATAAGTCAACCAATGATTATGGGGATTTTTGGGTTTCCCTCCTGGCTTTTTTGTCTTAGCAATCTGGAACATGATGGTGAAATGGATCTAATCTAAACTGCTCCTAAATTCTTGACGGATGTTTTGGCTGTAATTGGACTGAAAGGTCAAAAAGGTTTTTGTGTTTGGTTATAATTTCTGATGTATTTTCTAAATGTTTCTGATCAGAACCAGACGCAGCACCGGGTTGTTTGGCCCACATCTAATAGACATCTAAAGTGAATTTTAGACATCTAAGAGAAGAATACATTTTTTGGTGAATGTTAAGAATAAGTTGGCATCACAAAACCTTCTGAAGCTTCGATTCTTCATCAGTAACTGTATTACTTTCTTTCATGTTGTTTGAAAATGAGCCATCTTTTTATCCAGGGAGAGTCAGATATATTTTTTTTAAATAAGAAAACATTGATATCAATGAGACATGTTGATGTTCAAGTCATTATTTCCCTGACACTTAAGATAAAGTGCTCTGGTGTTTATCTGCCAGGATAGTGTGAAAATGCAAGCATGCCTTATTATCATTATTTCTTCCTTTCAACTTTGAACTAAAAACATTTTCCAAATTCAAAATAAAAAGGTGTTCAGTTTGATAAGGAAATACATTGTGCATTGAAATTATGCATTATATTATGCACTTAAAGTTTTGCAGGTATTGGGATTGTCATATAAGTGACGGTGCCTTTCAAAGGCGTGAGGTTTTTCAAAATTTAAGACGGATTTATTTATGGCAACATTCCTTTGGAAGAATATGCAATGAATTAACAGAAAGAAGCACATAAAGGTCAGATGGAAAGTGAGGTTCTGTTAACTAAAGAAAATAATTGATTATGGCTCAGTCTTAGACAAAAACATGTGTTTCCAAAGGTTCCACTAAAACGTCAGGATAGAGTCAGAGTCAGCTTAGATTTATTTGAAGAAAAGTTCTGCAAAGTTCTTTTCAGTAAGAGTCAGTGACTTACTATCAGGAGAGGCAGATGAGGGAGAATGTTGATGGTACTTAATAGGAGGCAGTGTTGAGTCTAATTTACACCATGGCCAACATGTGCTCTTCTTCACTGAAAAGATTGAAAATTGTTCACTTTGACAGGTTGTTTTGTAAAATCAAGAGATATTTGAGGTAGGTTCATCGCTATACATATTAGTACATTAAAATTTCTCTAGTTATATTTCTACTAGGCAAAATAGCTATCTTATCTAGTAACATTAATTAAATCTTCTTGAATTGTAATCACAAATGGTGTGTGTTACGGATGATGATGAATCTGGTAACTTCGTTGAGATGTCTTGAAAGGTATAATGATCCGTCGAAATGTAACTGAAGACATCTTGAATTCTTCTTTTTTAGTCATAACATAAATACAAATATCTTAAATTAACATTCAGGAGAGTCAAAATGTATCAGTCTCTAGTCAAAGCTCATTTTTAGATCCCTGGAAAATAATTATAGATAGATGAAACAGATTTTATGTTAAAATGGCCTGCCATAACCTCTCCTCCATGGTGATCAAGACCAGACTTTAAAAGACAAACATGAGCGTTTTGCCTGTTAAAGTGAACTTTAACAGGCAAAACCTGTTAAAGTTCACTAAAACATGATGATCAATACTCCAAGGATATCTTTACTTTTACAGTAACGTCTCAGTGATAAACATCTTTCTACTGCAGGAAGTGAAACTTGTATTAATAATAATACATTTGCAGAACTGCTCTTCAAAAAACCCAAATGAACCCTTTAAAGTTTGGTGGAGCTTTGCCTCATCTGGACACTGAAGCCACAGCTTTTGCCCAGTGGGACGTCCCTGTTTTGCAGAGGCCACAGTTTATATGTTCAATTATGCATAATATACACCACAGGTTCACTCAAACTCTCAGTTTTATCATTTTATTGGGCCTTCTTCCTATCTAGATCTAGTAGATGAACCATCAGGTAGGAATAGTTTCACAGTAGGAAACAATAACACATTTTTTCCCCCCAAATTCTGTAAAAAAAAAAAAAAACTACTTTGTATGTTTCAAAAATGGCATTTAGTGGCCGAGATTTTATAATCCAACCAATTTAGCTAATATAACAGTCAGTCAGCAAGAAAGACGGGTGGAACGGAAGCGTTTCTTTCCCATTTAAAGACGGATCGGTTCACTGTTCTAAGTTTCTTCAACACTTTTATTTGGATCCTTTCAATTTTTTTTTTTTTAATAGTGACTTTTTAACCCTCACCTCATATTTTAAACAGGGAATGCATTACAGAATGAACATTACCACAACTCTCTAAGATCAGCAAATCTAGAATGCTAAATATCCTAGTTAAAAAAGTAAAAATGTATTTAAAAAAGGATAGAAAGCGACAAACAAACAAGCAGAAGTACGATATTAAAACCAAAAAAAGAAAAATCATAAAATAATCAAGCAGGAAGATTATGATCTCTCATTATTTTTGCAACAGAACCATGCAAAGGAGCCAGGTAGGTTTCTCAGTTCCTCCGCTGACATGTGGCTGTATAACAGCGCCATTCAAGCCATGCCGATTTCCCAAGACCACAGGAAGCTCTAATTAACTGGTGAGAAAGGTAGACTACATCATGTTTCATTGTGGTGTGCAGCACTGAGCCGGAAGTCAGACTAACAAATATTCTCTACGTTCATCTCTGAACTTTTCATTTGATACTGTTAGTAGAAACAGGAATCAAAAACAGATGTTTGGAGTTGTGGTGTAATGGAGGCAATGATATGCATTACATTAAGACAGTTTCTTTACATTTTTGGAGAGGAATGTATCTGAAAAAGGAATGCAATGCTGTATTCAGACTGTTAACATTGTAAAAAAGCTTTGAAATTAGTAATTAAATAACCCTCTACTATTTATACATTCAGGCACTGAAAAATCACATGTCAATATGTAACTAAAAAAGATAGTTGCTCTCTTTTTTTCTTCTTCCTTGGTAAGAACAAGGAAGCTGACACCTTGAAGTTGGCAAACGAGTACATTTCCCCTACCTTGGAGTAATGCCATGTCCATCCTCTTTTCATGCGACCATTTCTCCTCCTCTTGAAGTGCATTTTCAGGCATTGACCTGGAGTCAGAGCTTTCCTGGTTTCTCCTAAAGCTTTCACCCTAAGCTGTGAGAAAGAATCCATGACGCTTGTCTTTTTGTGAAGGAAATCAAATGGTTTATCTGGATCCTCTCCTTGGACAAACAGAAACGGACAGATGGGTGGACAGATGTCCTCCGTGGCCCCAGAGGGCCAGCAGGTGACCCGAGGACCTCTGCTCCACAGACCAACATCCACCCCACCCCGTGTGGTTAAGGACTCTCCGGTGTGATAGCCAGCTCTCACTCCAGCGACCCTGAACTCAGTCATTTTTTTAACTATACAAGGGCTTTTACAAAAAAGCTAACAGGAACAGCCATACAATGGCTAAAACATAAACCATACCTCTACTTTATCTCTGTCATTTTTTGATCTTTTTTTTTTCTCTGACATTTTTGGATGCATTTTGTGTTTTCCCCGTTATTCGTTTGCCTTTTCTTGTTCTTTTTGAGAAGCTCTAATCCAGCATTATGTGTGCTGAGAGGCTCAGTCACAGAGAAACTGGATTTTAGAGGTTTTGGATTCTTTTTCTTTTTTGGGGGGGGGGTTTTGGACATGGGAGAATGGAAAAAAGACAGAGACTGGGCAAGAGAGAGAGAGAGACAGAGAGGAAGAGGAAGAGAGAGACTAGAGGTGAGAATCAGGTCACGGGGTCAAGATATGGTTAATTATTAGTCCAGACATGGGCTCGCAGTGGATGCAAGGACGGCTTGGAAAAAAGGTGCTGTCTGATAGGGCGGACTAATACAGGGTTCCTCAAGGTTATCCACTGTCAGAAGACGTGTGTGGTGCTGTGGAAGGAGAGCGCCGCCTACGGGTGGTGGAAGTCCAAGATCTGTCTGAGCGTTCAGAGCGCTCCGACGCTAGCGAGGCAGGCCGGAAGCGGTGAACGAAGCCGTCCAGGAAGTCCTGCTGCTGCTGGGTTATGGCTTGGGAGATGAGGCAGGGCAGTGCCTGCAAGCTGCCCGCCACCGAGTCCAGCTTGTCCTCCAATGTCCCGATCCGCTTGTCCAGCTCCTCGCTGCGCTCCTGCAGTTCCGACACCAGGTCATACATCACATTCTGTGTCTGACCAGGGAGACAAAGAAAATGTGTTTCAGGGCGAACAAGAAGGAGAAAGAATTGTTTCACAATTGAAAATACAGAAAACCATCAGACATGAACTAATATTAAAAGTATAAGCATGAATAAAAGCTTCATGTTCATCATAAAATCCAAACCTCAGCTGAGTTTATTACTCAGTAAAGTATCAGGAAGCTAAAAGAACTGGAGCCATGCAGTTTCAGCATGTCAGCATAGATTATATCATCTCATACATTTAACAACCAGCCTCTCCAGTACATTTATAGCCAGACAAGGTTTTTAATACCTAATTCATTTGATTGTGAAGATCCATTTATGTAATTAAAAGGGTTTCCATAATAAAGGCACTTATTGTTCTGCAGAGCCAGCAGCCAATGTTACAGAATATGCATCTGCAACAGTTAAAGGTCAAAAGAATTTTCTGTTACAGTTGTAATGTTATGTGCATCAAAAAACTAGGTGAATGTTTGTGTGGTTTTTAGCTTAATAACACTTTTAAACTTCAAGGGGGAAATATGGTCAAGGCTAAAATGATTCCTGCCTCTGGCAGATTCATAGATTCAACCAGGAAGTTTGTTCCTGACAGGAAATCAGACATGTATTTCTCAAAAGATAATAAAACATCAAAGTGTCCCTTTAATCTACTAGCCAAATATTTCAACTTTCAAATACTTCAAACAAACAAACCCGAAGCTGCTGAGATGCTGCCTGCATGTTTCTGTTGTGGAGAAAGTTTGTAAGGTTACACATTTAAAAAGTAACAGCAATAATTTATGTTCATTAGCTTCTCATAAGAGAAAAAAAGAGAATCATATTTTCTACTAGGTTGTTTAAATCATTCATTATTTTCCAAATTAAATATTTAACTTAGCCTCAATCTAAATATGCTAACTAAAATTTAGCATGAATCCAAATATTTCACTTGAAACTAAATACTTAGCAAAATAACACAACATTTTAGTTGTACGTGTTATAGAACAAAGTGAGCTGTTTCAGCAAGATCATTTGCAAATTGTTCTTTAAGACTTAAAATGTTGGGATCTTCTGTCACCGTACTGCTGCCAGTTTTCCACCAGAGGGCGTCCGCAGCTCACACCACGTTCTCCACCCTGCAGGTGTGTGAAAACACACCTGTGTATTATCGGCTTAATCCTTGGGGCATAAGAGGAGCCAGCAGTCTGCACTTCAACACTAGGGTGTCAATCCTTGTGGTAACCAAGATCACGGTTTGGACCCAGAATCAGGATCATGAAAACCAGCAGACGGAGATCTGCATATCTACATCCTGGACAATTCAGCCCCGGCTCGGCTCGGCTCGGCTCGGCTCCTCTCCTCTCCTCTCCTCTCCTCTCCTCTCCTCTCCTCTCCTCTCCTCTCCTCTCCTCTCCTCTCCTCTCCTCTCCTCTCCTCTCCTCTCCTCTCCTCTCCTCTCCTCTCCTCTCCTCTCCTCTCCTCTCCTCTCCTCTCCTCTCCTCTCCTCTCCTCTCCTCTCCTCTCCTCTCCTCTCCTCTCCTCTCCTTCTGGAGACGGGGCAGGACGGGGCTGCCCCCAGTCATCTGCACTCCAGTCATCAGAGCTTCCAGTCAAGTTGTGAGTAGTTCCTGTCAAGTCAGATCACTTCCACGACTCCTCGATCCCCTTCACCTCTCCCTGGTGGAAATTCCCTGGCACCCAGCACCGATATTGACGGTTCTTACCAGCCTGGCCATCGGCAGAGCATGCATCACACATTGAACATTTATTCCTGTAAATAAATCCTTTAAATCATTTGGTTTCCTGAGTGCATCTCTGCATGTGGATCCGGAACGTTGCTGAAATCATGAAAGAACACTCTGGCCATGTGAACCTAGCAGATGGTTTCTGTATGACCCTTGCAGAACAGCACCCCCTTAGCCAGTCTCAAGAGGCCGTCCTCCAATCCCTGAGCGAGCAGCAGAGCGTTACAAACCAACGCCTGGATTATTTAACCACACTGCTCCGAAAGTCGCAATCCGAACAACCTCCCCAGCCAGCAGAAGACGCTCCAACTCCGCTGATCCCTCAGCATAGTCAGAACCACTAATTCAAATCCCCTACTTCTGATCATTTTTCTGGTGAAGCTGGGTGTGTTAGGATTTTTACTTCAGTATTCACCATTGCCCACCGTTCACCACATTCATACCCACATGACGAAGCCAAGATATATTTTATTGTAGGGCTCCTCACAGTAAAAAAGCGCTTAGATGGGCTGAAGCGAGGTTCATGGACCCCACAAAATTTGGCTGCTCCTTTCTAGAATTCGTTGATGAATTTAAATTAGTGTTCGGGGACACAACAGACCAAACGGGCATCTCTCGTCGTTTATGGTCTCTAAAACCTGCCAGAGCCGATGCAGATCGGGCAGACCCACTCAACCCCAGAGGAACGGCAGCGATGTAGGGAGCTAAATCAGTGCATTTACTGTGGAATCGCTTCATGCCCGATTCGCCCAAACGCAAAGGTCCGTCAGTCGGAGTGGGGCAACTGACCCTAACCCTACTCTGGTGTTTCTCCCCGTTTTTTGCTTCCTGCAATCTTACAATTCAATAACAACTCTTATTCTGCGCTCATCGATTGTGGAAGTGAACAAAACCTCATCGAACAATCTCTGCTCGAACAGGCTAACATTAAAACTATAAAACTTCCAGTTGCTTTTAATGTAGCCACATTAAATGGAAAATCCCTCCTTATGATCACCCACAAAACCAAACCGGTTCAGTTCATTGTTTCTGGTAATCATCACGAAACCATCTCTTTTTGTTTTTCCCATTTCTCAGTCACTCTTTGTTCTAGACCTCACCTGGCTGCAGCAACACCATCCCCATATAAACTAGTCCAGCAATCGCCTTGAATTGTGGTAAGCTGTCTCTCCTCCTGTCTTCAATCCGCAGTTCTTCCAAGTCCATGCTCAATGAGCCTTGAAGGACTGGATCCCATCGACATCTCACAGGTTCTGGAGGAATATCATGATTTGAAACAAGTATTTAGCAAAGAAAAGGCTCTTTCTTTACCCCCTCATCGCCGTGCGACTGCGCCATTGACCTTCTCCCTGGGGCTCTGCTTCCTTCCAGCTATTTCTTTAACATCTCTTGTCCTCAACGCTGAGCCATGAGGAAATACATAAATAAATTCTCAGCAGCCGGTATCATCAGACATTCTTCTTCTCCTCCAGAGGTGGGCTTCCACTTTTTCTCCTACTGGTTCAAATGCTGATGAAATGAGGGAACCTCATTTCAAGCCACCATTTAAAAAAAAAATTGATCTCTGCAACGTGTATCACCTTGTCCGTATCTGCCAATATAATTAAGGAAGACCCCTATTGGGCATTTTGAATATTTAGTCAGGCCTTTTGGTCATTGAAACTCCACTGCAGTTTTCCAAGTTCTGATAAATTACATCCTGTGTGACTTCTTAAACATTTTTGTCTTTGTCTACTTCAACGGCATTCTTATCTTCTCCCATAATCTCTCAGACCATTGCAGAGATGTCCGTCTTGTTCTCCAATGCCTCCTTGAGAACCGCCTCTTCTGGTAGCCCGCCATGCATGAGGATCTTAAAGAATGTGTTCTTACCTGCCAAATCTGTACCTGGAACAAGCTTTCTCATCACCAACCTGCCGGTCTCCTCCAGCTATTGGGTATCTCGAAACATCCCTGGTCGCATATTGCAATCAATTTTGTAACGGGGCTTCCCCAATCCTAAGATTATGACCACTATACTTACCATAATCGACCGCTTTTCTAAGGCTTGTCATCTTGTTCCACTCAGAAAGCTTCCTTCAGCATTCCAAACAGCGCATCTTCAATCCAGATGGAGATCCGGTCTGATTGGGGACCTCAGTTCACCTCACAAGTACGGAAGCAGTTTTGTCTCATCCTCTGCGTTAAAGTGTTGCTCTCGTCAGGTTACCACCCCCAGTCCAACGGCCAGGCAGAGCATTTGAATCAAGAGCTCGAATCTGCCCTCCAGATCTAATGCTTCAGATTGGAATAAGTTCCTGCCCTGAGTCGAATACGCCCATAATTCTCAGGTCTCTACGGCTACCGGACATTCCCCCTCGATGTCTCACTGGGCTACCAACCCCCTCTTTTCTAGAAGATGAGAGGGACATCTCAGTCACCTTGGTGCACCATCACAGTAGACATTGCAAACACATCTGGTCCCCCACTGTTGTCTCCCTCCAGCACAACGCTGACCAGATATACACCTTTGCTGATTGCAGATATACACCCACACCCAGTGTTCACCATGGCAGACGATATGACTCTCATCAGGTGACATTCCATTTAAATCTATTCCTAGGAAGCTGGCTCCACGCTTCATCGGTCCCAACATGATGGACATCAGTCCAACAACCTCAGAGTCCATCCCTTGTTCCACATCTCCCAGGTTAAGCCTGTCATTGCCAGTACATCATGCCCTCCAGCCGAGCCCCCTCCATCCACCCGAGGTCACTAGGTACGTCCAATCTACACTGTCAACAGGATCATGGACTCCCGTCGCCTGGGCATGGGTTGGCAGTATTTAGTGGACTGGGGGGGCTGCAGTCCAGAACACCGCCAGTGAGTGCCCCGTTATTTCATTTGTGACCCATCTCTCAATCATCCCTGCCTTTGACTTTGTCTGGACCACCAGGAGGTGGCTGAAAGGGGAAGGTAATGTTGGGATCTTCTGTCACCATTCTGCAAGTTGTGAGTAGTTCCTGTCAAGTCAGATCACTTGCAGGACTCCTTGATATCCATCACCTCTCCCTGGTGGAAATCCCCTAGCACCCAGCACCAATCGTGACGGTTCTTACCAGCCTGGCCATCAGCAGACCTTGCATCACACATTTAACATTTATTTCTGTAAATAAATTCTTTAAATCATTTGGTTTCCTGAGTGCATCCCTGCATGTGGATCCAGAACTTTGCTAAAATCATGACATAAAATACTCTGGTTGGAAATTTAATTTTAATTAACTTCCAAATGACATTTAATGCCAGAGTCAATATGTCTCCAGAGCATTTCCAGTGGATCAATCTTAAATAATGTTGTAGCTATTGTAAACTTGATTCATATAGATGTAAAAATTTGGATTTATTCTTTTACAGGAAAAACTAAAAAAGGTAGAAAATTAGAAGAGCTCTACACTACATATTAAGCCAGGAGCTTAATATATAGCTTCAGATATAGTGACTGAAGCTATATATTGTGATATTTGTATTTATGAAAATGTTATGATATGTTACTGATTTGGATGATGTTATCAGGTGAACTCAATAAATAAAACTGTTTGTTTTATTGTCTCTTTTGAATGATCTTCTATTAGCCTCTCTATGGAAACATTTACCTGCCAGATCTAAGAAACAAATTGAGAAGCAGAATCCTGTTAATATGAGAAACTCTCATTTTAACGAGACCCTAAACTCACTAAAATAAGAACGTTTTCTTGTTTAATGAGATATAAAGATATGTTCCTCTGACAGATTGCAAATTCTTAAAAAGTAATAAATGAAGTCGTGCTGACTACCTTCTCCCTCCGTTTCCTCTAGATGACATTCAAACATTACGTCCCACAGTTACAAACTCTTGCTTAAACGTGAACATATTTTAATTTTGATGAGATTTAAAAGTCATTATAATGCCGTTAAAGTAATTATAAGGGTTCTAATATCAGGTTAAAATGACTTTTGTCTCGTTATAACAAAATACAACTCCCGAATTCATTTCTTTGCTGTGGCAGTTTAATATTTCCGTACTGCAAGAAGTTAAATGTATCATGGCTACAGCTATCTGCCTGCCAGCTCTCCTAAGTGCAGAACAGACTACAGTTAAGCCCCAAATTATTACTATACTATACCACACCTGGCAGATTTAGATGTAAAAATTATTTTTCATTTAACAAGGAAATTGTCAGCAGCAATGTCAGCAGAGCTCTGTGTGAGGGGCAGTGATCGGTTAGAAGTTTGTTAGCATATTTTATGCAGACATATTCTCAGACATCAATGTTGATGTTTCTCTTCAGACATGTATACTTTTGAGGAACGTTTATCTGATACAGTGAGGAATTATGTACATTTGTACTATTCTTCATTAAATATTTATGATAAAAATAAGACTGGCAAATGGTTAATAATTCCTGCATGGAAATTGTAACATTGTTGTTGACAGAGTTGGCTGCCAAGGGAAGACCGTGGCGCTAGCTCCATGACCGTTTCATTATGACAAAATGAAGGAAGTTTGAAGAGGGGGAATCCAGGCGGGTTGGGGCGTGAAGTATGCTGAAGCAGGAGGGGAATCTCCCTGGTGATCTGCATCATTGTATGAAAAGTGTGTGTGAACACAAACTTCCTGAAACCATGTAACGGCATGTCAACTGTTGGACTTTTTTCATCCAGGTCGATCAATGAAAAGAAGGAGTTGTGAACAATGACATTGAGTTTTTGTGCTGTTTTTGAATTGTGGTACCAATGGCAGTTTGCATTGGCCATGTTTCCAAGATATTGAGGATTAGTGAGAGCGTGTCAGGCCAAGAGGAATGTTAAAATCATTTTATTGCTGGCAGTCGAGGACGGCTGTTTTCAGTGCATGCAACTTCTGGTAAGCTTCATTGCTGGTTTCTTCATGGTCAAGTCAGCGTATTACTTATGTTATGGCCAAATGTTAGCAACTGAGTAAAATCAAATCCAATTGTTTAAAACTTCAACAGAGTTCATGCTTCCAACAAGCAATCGTTTATCAGCAGCCAAGAGTTCACACGTTCTGTACAAAGCAAGGCGTTAGCTTTTGATCCTACTTCTACTCACTTCTTTATTTTTCGTTTTTACAATTCTCTTTGACACCTATTCACCTTTTCACGCTCTTTACAGTTTCTGACGACGATTACAATCTTTATCTCCTATTTATCTCATCTTAACTTCACCTTCCACTGCAAAACTGCTTTAAAAAAAAGAGTTTAAAAACGCTATTCCGTAACTTTGCATCTTTCTGAATATGAAAGATTTTTTTTTATTATGGTTCAGAAAGGCTGTAATAAGCCTTTTTTGATATATATAGCTTTATCCAAATCAGCTTTGCATTAAGATTTTAGCATCTTATGATAGAAAGTTTTGTTTTGTAAAAGCAAAGAAGACTTACCTTTGCAAGGTCCACCAAGGTGTTGGCCTGATCATTGAGTTTTCTCTGTTCCATCTTCACGCTGCGCAGTCTGGGTGGGGGTAAGGGGGGATGTTAACAAGAGAAAGATAGAAGGCAAAGTAGAGAAAGACAGATGCAATGATAAATGTGGAGAAAAGAGAGTAAGAAGGAGAGGATATGTGGTTTTAAGGAATAAAAAAGGGGAAAGAAAGGCCAGTAAAGAGGAAAAGAAAGAGGAGGAAAATACATTTTATTAGCTGTGTTCTCATATCAAGCAAGCTCAAATAAAACACATGCATTGTAAAAATATATTTCAAATCAGTACATACATATACTTTGCAAAACTGTATATGTATATATAGAATACAAGGAGATGTGCATAAAAGCAAGCATACTTGGTCTTGGTAAATACATTGCAAACCAAAACATGCAGAAGTACAGAAGCATACTACACTCATTTTCAGTCATTTTAAATACCTGGGTTTTTTTAAACACTTTGAAGCAGCAGGTATTGCTGAAGGGAAGGAAGGTTATTCTGAGTTACTGACTTGTTGCACGTAGGGGTGGGCGATGGGGCAGACTTCTAGCTACTTTTTAGGAGAGGTGTTTTCAGTAACGTTAAAGAACACACAGGGTTTCTTTGGGAATCTTTAACTTGGTGTTAAAATTCTACTGCGTTTTCATTACATTCTCTAGTGGATTTATGTAAGAATATGAATGAAAATGCAAACCATCTTGTGATTTCATTGATCATCTATTATGATCAATAAAATCATCCTGAACAGGCTTCACTGTTTGAACTGCTTCATTACTTCTCTTACAGCTGCACTGAATATTGAAACCAGACAGACCAGCCAAAAGAGAAAAAATTAACTTTATTTGCAGGACAACACTGGATGATAGAAACTTACAACAACAAAAAAATAAAAATATCTCAGAACGGTTGCACAGCAACTTATTGTTTATCTTATCATCTCTACCATTATACTGCAGAGACAGAGGTCTGTGTACCGACCGTTATGTCACAGAGAATCCTGTAACTCTGAAAAGTAATATAACTAGATTTTGATGACAAGGTTGGGGTCAAAGTTAACAGTATATATAAGAATTGTCCTACAGTCCAAACAGCTCAAATAGCCAGTTAAACAAAGTAACTCAACATTTATGTCGAGTTCAAGGTTTCTATGCTGATTTTTGTCCTTAAGATTGATTTGCCCATCAATCTTAAAGACTCCTGGATCATCAGGATGGCTCTTATTCCTTATGTGTTACCAGTGATCTGGTAATCTCAGAAGGACATGCTGGATTGTCTTGGCCCAATATCGTAACATGTGTGGTGTTCCCTGACAACGAATGAGAACGCAGACTGTCGAATGTGAAGTGTAGCCAATCAGAAAGGGAGGTAATGTAAGCATGGAGGGGAACTTGCCATGAAGCACCAGAAAGTTCCCTGGATGCTGGAGGCAACTTTATACTTTTTTCTCTATCAAATTTCTTCCACAAACTATTGCCGCTGCTTCTGTCGAGTCAGCCATGTTCATTTACTCTGAACTCTTGCTTGGCTTTGCAAGATTTCACATGACATCTGAATGTTGGTGAGTGAAATTGATTTGTGTGTGATGTGTTCCTCCTGTTGTGTAATGAACATAACACACCGCATGACCAAAACTGTTCTGCCTAAAAATCTTCGTCATTTGTGGGGTCTCAGGTTTTGAAAATCGGTCAACTGTTTTAAAATCTCCCAGTGTGAGCCAGGCATTAGCAATATGGAGAACAACTTAGAGACTTGCCAAAGGATTGATTAATCATGAAACAATTTTCATGCAAATTATTTCATGATGACAATTGCGATTGTATAGACCAGGTTAAACTAACCCTAATAACCTGTGCAAACTCAAAACTAACACTTCAGTAACCATAGCCACAGTTTGTGTCAAAAGAGCGTCAGTCAAAATGAACATCTTTGAAACTATGACCAATTGCAATTTTTTTTTTGTTCTAGTTAGTGATAGAATCAGACATCTTAATGTGTTTATGATGAGTGTCAAGCACTCTATAAGTGCTTGACATAATAGATCTGCTGTCTGTTACCCAAATAGACAGTGAGAATTTCTTAACTACTTTTTTTAGGGTCACTTTTATTGTTTTGCATTAAATACCAGTGTGAGGATTTGGTTTTCTGTCTATTTAGTTTCTGTGTCGTCTCCTTTGCCCCTGATTGCTCCCAGCTGTGCCTCATGTTCCCTGATGTATTTTGTATTTCATCCCACCCGTGTCCCCTGCTCGTTGTCAGATCCTTGTCGTGTCGTGTATCTAACATCCTGCCTTTGTTGTCTAGTAACTATCAGTGTTACCAGTGTCTGTGTTTCCTTGTCTCATTGCTCACCTGTGCTGCCTGGATTTCTGTGATCTTGATTAAAACCACTATTCTCACCATAACCTGGGTGCAGCCACATCCATCCCCACCACCAACAACACCACACAATTCATGACAACCTGTGGTCATTTTAAAAGTCTGTGTCGCCCATCCCAAGTTTTCTACACACACACCGACTAGAAAAGCTGTACACCGTGACGTCCTGAACAATCACTGTCGACAAGAAAGCTGGAGTTAGCCTATAACTTTAGCTAGCCTGTTTACACCCAAAGGTCACTGTGAGCTAAAAATTACTTTGGTAAAGTCTTGATAGCTGTCAGAAATTTATCTGAAAGAAACAATACAGCTTTGGTTTGGTCTTGGGGAACAAAAATGATCCAAATGCATTCAGTGACATTCTTGATGCTCCCGCCAGCTAACTCCTTAATTATGTCCTGTTTTGTTTACTTCATTCATATGGTGGTAGCATTGATATTTTGAAAGGTATCTGACATTCTTGGACACTGCAGCTAAACTATGCTTCATATTATAGGTAGTTGGTATGGATGTTGAGAGTGTACATATAGTAGTAACACCATGGAGGTTCTGCAGGTTTGCTGGTTTCTTTCTCCTTTTCTGGGTCAGATTCTGGCTCCAACATGTTGGATAGAAAGTCTACCATTGTTGTCATCTTTAATAAAAAGTTTCTTAAACTACAAAATGGCCGAACAGGGTGGAGTGGAAAGTTGTGCAACCTGGAGGGGCATAAAATGTCTTATTCACATTTTAAAAAATGCAGCAAAATGTGTTGCTCTACAAAGCATCAGAGCAAAGCTGAGAGAGAGTCTGTGGAATTCAGACCAGAGCATTGCGGTTGTTCTTCATACAACCTTTGGTGAATAATTTACATGTGAAAAGGAAAGATTTAAAAGCTAGATTTGTTCACTTTGAAACACCTCACAGGAGAATATACCACAGAAGATCTAGGGGAAAAAATTCTATAAATCAACAAAGTTACAATATGAAGAACTGCAGAGCCCTGAACATTCTCATTGGTTGAGGTGGTAAATATAGAATTACAACACAAGTGAAGCAGGAAAGAATATGTATCTGTGAACAACAAGTAGATTTTTGAGTGCCTAACTTAACAGAAATATCAAATATTTTGCTAAAGGAAAAATGTAATTATATTTTGGAGTCAGAAAGGCAGAAATTGTGAAATTTAAAATATCAATATTGTTCTTCTATCAGCAACCTAAACATGAAAACATATGCCAAAACCAATATTTGTTAGATAAATGGTATTAACTGAATTATCTCTTTCTCCCATAAAGTGACCAATAAATAATTTGGAATATTAAAAAGGATTTTTGAAATAAATCCATCAATAACTGGCTATTGCTGGAGATTTGGCCAGAAGGGAAACATACTTCCTTCAGCGGGTTTTGATCACATCCTGATCAGAAGCCCAATCCGTCTAAAATGATTCTGATATTTTTCAAGTTTTTTCTAAAAACAATTTGGTTGAATTTGGCAGAACATTGTTATTTTAACACGAGACAGTAAAGTCGTATAAGATTCTGTCAAAGTGGCAGAGATACGAACCATGACTTCCACTGAGAACGTAGGAATCCTGTATTACAATAAAATGGGACCATGTATAACAATTTTGTGACTCATATACACATTTTTTTCACATTAACACAGCGTTAGTGTTAGGCTTAGAGTCCAAAGAACCACACAGTGAGACTGAAAGTATATTTAGATTTAGATTTTAGCATAATACAATAAATTTCATGATATTTAGCCAAATCACCCACCACTAGTTTTAAGTCAGAAAGGAACCTGAGTACTGAACTGGTCAAATGTTTTCCCAGAAGAATGCAATATGCTTCCATAGAGAAACCTTTAAATCCAGTTTGAAATAAAAAGCAAAAGCATTCTTATCCATTTTCATCCCAAAGTAAGACATGAACAAAAGGAAAAAGATGGCATGCCCTCGGTCAGTGCTGCAGGCAGCTCAGTGTTAGGCTCTCATGTATTCACTCTGTCACTCAGGCAGCGTGCCGTAGCCATGACTGATCTTTGTGCACAATGAGCATGAACTGCAGTAGTTTGTTCTGTGTTTGGGTGTATGTTCACAAGCTGATGTGTATGAAGGCAATGCCACAGATAAAAGATGGAGTTAACCAGAAACAAACGGCCTGTTTACGCTGCTGAACATGCAGCAACACAGACATTCTGAATATGCTGCAATGAGACACCTGACATGTTTTGTGATGCCTTCCATTCTGTGGCTTTATGTCACCAATCAGACACATTATGACACTGTGGAGTCTGGCAAAGTTGGACTTAAAAAATGTGCTAGTCTGTTTGTTGTGACATCACGCAGCCATCATCTGTATGTACGAGAGGACAAATTTCCCTGTTTGGCAAATTATGAGACAGAAGGCCTTTCAAGGTCATTTATTCATTCAGTATATTAGAGCAGAGAGACAGAGAGAGAGAGAGAGACTATCTCAATAGGACACATCCTCATTATTGTGATATGTCATCATTTGTCCTGCCTGTCAAAAGCAAAAAGACGTACAGTAGTCATGGTTTCAAAACTGCCGAGATCTTTGAGTTTTAAATTCCTTTAGAGACTCAAGGAACAGTTCTGCATTGTCAATAATATCGAGTTGACAGGGCAAGATTGTTACGCCAATTTTTTGTCCCAATTTTCTCTTTCTGACAATCTTAAAGATGCCCTTCTTGTCAGGATGGCTCTTAAGCGAGACTTCTGAGATGTCGTGTGTGTTAACAGTAATCTGGTCCTCTCAGAAGAATGTCAGGACGGCTGTGATCTAAAATCAGGAATTATCAATCTGTTGGATTGTCTTGGAACATTATGGCAGTGTGTGCGGTGTTCCCTGACAACCAATAAATACAGTCTGTTGAATGTGATGAGTAGCCAATCAGAAACGAGGTGACAGGAACACAGAGGGGAATCCAAGATACACAGAAGACAAAGTAACCAGAAAGTCAGGGGGACGTCTCAGACAGTTTTATTGTTTTTTTTCTCTGTTAAATATATTTCACAAACTATCGCCGTTGCTTCTTCACAGTCGGCCATATTTGTTTACTCAGAACTCATATTATATTTGGTCTTTGCGAGATTTCCCATTTGACATCTCAATGATACCGAGTTATATCGGTTCAGTGTGTTGCTCATCACACACAGCGTCACCAAACCTGCTGCAGTTAAGATATTTTGTTACCATGTGTGGCCAGTCAGGGCATGAAACGCGGCCTACGATTTGAAACTCTGGTGTGTGAACCCGGCATTAGCTGTCTGCACATAAAGACATTCTCCTAAGACTTTCTCTTTGTTAAAAGTCTCCAGGAACATTTCTGTCTTTGAAAAACGAGAACATTCTTGGGTTTCATAAATGAGAAGCTTTACCAATTTGTTTGTACGAGAGCAATGCTTTAAAACACATGATGGCAACAAGCCATGCAAGTTAGCATGCCTGCTGAATAAATGATTACTGGATGTGACAGTCTGCCAACATCCTACAAGTTAGCACATTTTTTCTTTTAGAGCAACAAACATCTCGTTCTAACAGCCACTGGTCTCCATGGTGACTGATGTGTGTCCTGTCACTCTTCATAAATAAAAATAAATAAATAATAAATATTCAGCATATTTCAGTAACCCATAATGCTTTACATTAAATGTGCGGACGACTTCCCAAGAGGCATTAATACATGTAAATAAATGTATTTTTGCTGAGAAAATGTGGAAAAACAACATGTGGAGAGGCTTCATCTTCAGCAGAGGCTTCTTCAGATTTGCTACAGAAGATCTTTCCTGCCAACAACCATTACCATTACAACAATTCTTTGAAAAATTTCAACTAATATGAGCTACAACAACACATCATTTCCCTTTGGGGTCAATACAGTATTTGAATGGAACTGAACTGAATTGTCCTCTGTGTGTTTGTGGTTGACAAAGTGAAAGCAGCTAACATGAAGGGTTTTCTGGGGTCACTCTGAATGCAGATCTCTGATCAGAGGAACAATCCCATTTCACTTTGGATCTGTGTTTCAACTCACCTGCGACGATACAAGCTTAAAACATTTTAAATCTGTTCAGATTTAAGATTATTTATTCATTGAGAATTATAATGCATTCAATTGCTTCATTGTTTGTTCTTGTTTTATCCAAGAGATACAGGTGGTCTTTTATGATGTGAAAAAACTATGAAAGGCAAACAACCCCCTCCTCGTCGCCCCCCAAAAGATTTGTGCACATTTGCTATGGAAACGCAGCTCCTATGTAAGCTCCCGGATCTTCGTTGTTTGTTATTACATCTTTTTGTTACTCTGCTGGTACCCAGTCTGTTTTCTCTCCATTTTCCAAGATGTGAATATGTTCTGTAAGTTATTTTATTTCATGAAAATATTCTGTTTCAATGCAGCTCTGCTCTACATTTGGGTCCAGTTCAAACGCAACTCTGCTCTGCGTCCCCAGAATCAGAACCAAACATTGAGGAGCAGCATTCAGTTTTACTGCTCTACTAATCTGGAATAAACAGCTGAAACTAAACTCCTTCAAATCATAGTTAAAACCTAAAACAAGTTGTGCTTGTCTGATGTATACATAATATTAACTGAAACATCATTTATTTTAGTCTATTGTTCAACTGTGCTTTCTGTTATGTCACTGCAATGTATTGTTTTATGTACTCAGGATGTAAAGCACTTTGAATGAACTTGCCTCGCCTAAAACAGCAACTTTTAAGCAGTTATTAAATATACTTTAAATTACACATGCATTCTGAATTGAAAATGTATCTTTATTGCTCTGATCTAATATTCCAATCTTAAATTCATTTAAGATTAGTATTAAGTAGAGTAACTTTTTATTAATGTTGTATTATATTGAATGTTTCTTTGTATAAAACTCAAGAAAGCTCTTGAATTTAAATGACCAACACTAGCAGACACCTGCAAGCATGACATTTTAGCAGCTTTGAAACCATAATATTTTTCATTGTGGTTATAACATTATCAGCCTAATACCAGCATAACCAAGTCTAACATGGACGCAGGTGTAAAACCATGTAACATAAAGACTTTTTACACACAGTTTGATTCTTGTGTTGTAGATTGTTTGCTTTGAGATCATTTTAGACAGGAAAACGACAAAAACCAACAGCAAACAGTTCAGCTTCTTTATGTAACTATAGTATGTTACACAGTTTGGATAAATGTCATCACAAAACCATCAAGAGTGTAGGATGAGTTCTGCTAATGACGATTAATATAGCCCCGGGAGCAGCTATATTAGTCATACTTGTGCGGTAGATGAGGATGATCTTGGCCAATAAAAGGTCCAAGCTCACTCTCTGCGAGAAGCTTTTTCTTTCACACATTCTCTCCAGACAACCCTTAATTACTGACACAGAGTGTTGGTGGCAAAATGTTGATGCTTTTTTTGTCTCATTCCATTCAAGAGAGAATGGGAAGGAGAGGGGAGGAAATGGAACACTGAAATAAATAAATAAGAAATAAAAAAATAAAAAAACAGCAGCCAAGATAATTATTCTTTTTCTCATGCATGTCAAACGCAGACATGGAGAGTGGAGGAGGAGGAGGAGGATGTTGAGGAAACAGTAGGAGAAGGATACATAGAAGACTTAACTTACTTCTGAGCTCTGCGGTGATTAGAGCAAAACAAGGACAGAACACAGTACAGAGTTTTAACCTCACAACATTCACGAAACGAGTGAAACCATTACACTTGTCGCTGTAAGCGCAGGGTAAAAGAGGGTCGGCGGGAAGAGGGGAGCAGGGAAATACGAAGGACCATCACAATACTTTGAGTGTGTGTGTGTGTGTATCTGACAAAGTAAGTGAGTATGACAATAAAAGGAGCAGCTCTACTAGGTGATAAGACATAACTATGGCTACATTTCTTCACCATGTTAGCAAGGTCTAAATATTTGAATCTTATAAGTGAGATTGAAATTTATTTCTACTTTCTGCAGAGAGATTTTTATTGTAAGTTTAAAACGTTCATGAACAAACAGAAGTGCAGGACTTACTGGTGGATGGCTTGGAGAAACTTGCGCTGGTGTTTCCGCACCTTGGCGTGATCGATCTTCTTGACCAGCTTGGTGTGTTTGTAAATGAGCCATGTTTCCCTGAGTACATTGGCAGCTGTGTTCTTTACCTGAGACACAAGAGTGAAAAAGACATTTGATATCACAGATCTGGCTCTGCTTCAGTGTATCAGTTTCTGATTGAATGATTAAACAGGACCATGTGGGAGATGGGAGATACAAGATAAAGGTAAACTGGTGGAAGCTATCTGACACAGTGTCAGCGTCGTACTCTCATGTCTGCTGGAAACTGGGAAAAGTAGAAATTAACGTTCTGCTTCACGGCGAAAACCTGCTGAATTGAAATCACCAGGTAAAGAGGAGCAAAATGGATGGATGAAAACTCACACTGTCGTTAGGAGGCTTGTCTGCCATTGTGTTTCTCAGATCCGTTGAGTTTTTTCATCATACCACATTGCTTGTTTGAAATATTTTTTTAATAACATACAAGAGAAATCTCCAGCTCTAGATGGTATCAAGCTGCTGCTGGGCACTGCTGGTCAGCTGCCTGAAAAGAGGCTTCTGAACTTCTCTTTAAAATTAAAAATGAATTTGTTCCTGTTCCCTAATACAAGAAGAAATTTGTTTTTTTTAAGTCACTTTTATAGGATGAAAAGGAATTAAGTAAATACAATAAATAATAAAAATAAACTGTATCTCCTATAATTAATATAGTTTTGTATTTTATGAATAGTGATTGTTCTGAACTTATGGTGCTTTTCTTGTCATGACCACTGAAACACAGTGTTCACACACACACGCACGCACACACTGATATGCAGATAACGAGGGAACTGAGTTGAATGCCTTGCCCAAAGGCAAACTGGCATGAGGAAGGGGAAGCTGGAATCGATTCAGAATGACTTCTCTTTCCACAAAGCCACACAAAATATGATATCATCACCAAATATCAACATGGAATATGAGTAACATTTAAATATAAAGAGCCTTTGGACATTAACATCTTCGGGTCAGGCTATATAGAGTTCAGCTGAATGCTTGCACTGGGATTTTCAGGTCAAGTGATGGATTTCGGTGATGGCACTAAACATGTAATGTTTGTTACTGGTTTCTGACTTGGTGACTGTATGTTGTTTTTATGACTTTTTATTTGTGTGTTTTTATCATTTCAAGCACTTTGAACTGCCTTGCTCCTGAAATGTGATGTACAAAGAAACTTGATTGATGTATGTCATCTTGTGTTTCCAGTTTATAACTGTTTCACTGGTTAAATCTTCTGACCTCTGAAACATTATCAGAAGTTTCTATATTGTCTCCTTCCTAAAAATGATAGCCTGTCATTTTTGCCTAAAGCTATTTCAGCCAAAAAAAAAAAAAAAAAACTTAGAAAAACTTATTTAGGCCATTATTTTGGAAAGGTGATATAGAAATAAAAAGATCCAAAATAAAGAGGAAATGTCCTGGGTTGAAAGTTTACAGAGGGACTTTTGCTTATAGGCTTTGTAAATCAACTTGCAGCAGACTACAGTAAGTGCAGGTAGAAAATGTAACTCACTCGTTTGCAGAGTTGTGTGTCCATCATGAAGTTGTGAACATGCTTCTCAGCCTTGGTCAGCTCCAGCTTCCTGGCAACCACTGCTACCACCAGCGCAGTGCAACCTGCCCCCTGTTGTTTACATGTAATGACAAACACAAAAGCACTTGGTTGGTGACATTTGAAAATGTAACATGATATCTATCTGATTTAACAGGGGATCTGAGACAAGACTTGAAAATTGAGAAACTTCTGCATAGAAAACTGGACTGAACCTTTCCAGCAGAAGCTGCTACTGGAGCTACAGACTGAGGGAACAAAATGCACATCAACAAACTATTTATGGGGGTTGAAATAACAAATACACATCACACTTTTCAGATTTTGAAAACCCTGTTATCTTTGCATGTCCACTTCATAATTATCCACTACTTTGTGCAGGCCTAACGGCAGAGTGGTTTCAGTAAATGAATAAATTAGAAGAAATCAGAAATAATAGTAACTGGTACATTTTTAACTTGGTGAAACCTTTCAGCACAGCAAACTATCAGGCCATCCTCAGTCCTTCTAAAGACAGAACAGATGAGTGAGCTCTGCAGGGTGCCATTAACCACAGCTACAGGTAAAAATAGACCCCAAGAGAGTGAAAGTGCATTCACATACATAAGACGAGGTGAAAGAAGTGTAAAGGGTCTCAATCCAAGATTTTCTTTTGATTGATTAAAAAGTTTAATAAAGTAAAATTTTCCTTCCACATATTTACTGATATATTTCAATAAAAACAAAAGGAACCTACCATGATCCCTGTAAGAAGACACACGCCTTTCCCACAGTACGTGTGTGGAACCATGTCACCGTAGCCAATAGAAAGGAAGGTGATCGAGATGAGCCACATGGCTCCCAGGAAGTTACTGGTCACTTCCTGTTTGTCATGATACCTGAAACAATAAAGACAAGGAGAGACATGCTCAGAAAAAGGTAGTCGCAGTTTCATGGATGCAAACATGCTAAAGAACAGGATGCTCTAAGAGTCAAACAAGGCCTGTGGCCGGAGGGATATATGGAGGAAGAGCATGATGCAGTGGGAGACCTCTCCTCTAAAACAGTTTGGTGTGTTAGCTTCAAACTGACGCAGTTTAACAAGTAGCAGTAGTTTGTAAGGATTTCAGACCAAAGTTCTTGTGCTAAACCAGGTTCTGGTTCTTGTGGTGCATTCTATATCTGCACTTCATGAGAACTCAAACTCAAAAAGTTGTAGGTTACCAACCCTCAACCTCAGAATTCAATATGCCATCATGTAGGCACACTCCACTGGAGACTTGAGGTCAAATTCGCTAAACATGATTCTGCAAGAGCCAACTGACGAGAAAGTGAGACAGTGACAGAAAGAAAACGAAGGAGGAAAAACCCCTCAAAGGTTAGTTGTAAATGTATAGAGAGGCTGTGGACCGTTCAGCAGTACATCCAACAAACCTTTGGGTCTGAAAGGCTTCTAAAGGAGTTTGATCCATATGAACATCTGGACAAGGAGTGATGCTCCTGTAGTTTGCTGAAAATTTTGCACTTGTCCATATTAAAAATATATATTAAATGCAAATATGTATTGTCATCTGTATAACCTTCATCTTTAGTTACAGATGATATGAGAACTCCATCAAAGTATTTTAGTTAATCAATGATTGACTTCTTATCTATATTTAAACATGAGACTCAGCAGGACAAAGCTCAGTCCTCTGTAAGAATGCCTGATGGTGGAATGCAGTTCCCTCATCATGATGCTGAACAACTACAACCTGCTAAGGTCGTAATGTCTGCTTGTTGCTGGTGGGAAGCTCTCCAGAAAACTTTCAAAATAAGCACTTTCTGTTTCTTTCGTGTCACTGACATCTACCTCACAATATCCTTTAGTTAGTACTGGGATTTTAACCTCAACGCACATAAACCATATAGTTTATGTAATGTTGAGGCCTGGATCCGTCATAGTTCTACACTAAATACGGCTAGCATAGCACCCAAAGATGTTATCTGATAACTGCAGTGATCAATTTCCACTTCTGATAGCCTAAACATACCATGTAAATGTACATCATCTGTTTTTTAAGATGTTCCTTAAAAAACATCTTAAAACTGTTTTTTAACATTTTTAAGATGTTAAAAAATATTAACATATTCTCAGAATATTTTGGAATATTTTGGACACAGAATATTTTGAGAACTTCATTGATATTGGCTTATGTTGCTAACAATAATTCAATTAACAAATGTTGCTTCAAATAATCCACATTAACAACATGTTCTATGAAAACACTGATAGGATTGTGTTGTATTTACCAGATAAGTGGCTTGTTGCCAGGTGGTAACAGAACCAGAAAAGTCTGCTTGACTGATCTGCTGTCATTTCTGATTTCGAGTAGGAAATCAGGTCACGGTGTATAAACAGAAGAAAACACGTGGGCGTTTTCTTTAAACCCCCCAAAAAATTTCCCAAAAGTTTTGTACCTACATTTTTTGTGTAAAAAATTTTGTGTTTTGACCTAAATTAGGTCAAAAACAATCTGTTTTAGGATGTTTTTGATGCTTTTTCCTCAGCCCAGTAGGTGGTGCAACATAGAACTTTTTTTGTATACACCAGAAGTGGTTCTGGTTTCAAGCACTGGTTTGGCACAAGAACTTACTTAGAGAAAATGAACTTCTGCAGAGAAACTAGTGTGACATATGGAAAATAAAAAAAAATGTATAGTTTTTTTTTTAATACACAATATGCTTAAGGTATTTGAAAACAATATCAACAAAAGACATTCTCAGAGTCTTGAAAGATAAAAAAAAAAAATTTGACCAGTGACATCCATAAAATGGCTGCAGATTCAAAACCTTTACAAAATACCATTGAATTTAAGTTTCAAAGAACATTTTTCAAATATCAAAAAAAGAACATCTTTTACCAGACATAGTGCCACACATCAATTCAAACTCATGTTAACAAATGCAACTAAACAAATAAATGTCAGTGCATTCAAAATGGTAATAATGCTGCAATAAATCAAACAGTTGACTGATTGGTCACAGCGTGTGACAAATGCTCCATCAGAGATTAAGGAAAAGAAAAAAAAAACCTTGAACATACAAATGATCACAGCAAACATTAAAGTAGCTTTCAGCAATGTTTCAAATGTCAAACCAAAAGCCAACAAAGTGTATGAAAAATAACTTTACAAATAAACAAATAAAAAAAACGAAGAAGCCCAAGATTGAGGATGGCATTCCGAAAGCTTTTGCAGCAATGCAAAAGTCTGTTACAGAGGCAAATATGCCTTGTGCTCCTTTGTTCAACTTGCTAAAATATAACCAATGGACTGTCTTGGAGAAGTTAAGAGAGTATTCTTGTATTTCATTTTCATTTTAACAGTCCCAATGGGAAACAAACTGCATAAATTCTAACTACTGAGATTATTAAGGGCAGAGATGCACCAATAAAAGTACTGTCATTTTGAATTTGATCAGCCCAGATACATGAGCGATTGATTGGAAACTTAAAAATACCAACTTTTTCTAATCAGTGAACCCATCATAATATGATTCTCAGTTTGATCAGCACAGAGACATGACAGATTGGCTGAGATCAGACTATCAACCAAAGACTTCAGGGTACACACTGTTACTGGGTAAAAAAGAGTAAAGGTTGGCAAGTTGACTCTAGATGAGGCGTTAAGCATGAGGGCAGAGGAAGAGCAAAATACTGATCCACAGGAAGTGAGAGAGAGAGAGATACTTTAAGGAAATAACGGAAAATAAAACCTGCTCTGTTTTATTCATTTTATTTTTTCACTTATTTATGGAAAAATTGGTGGCTTTGCAGAACTCTGAGTTAAAGCTGCAGTATGTAACTTACAAAAATGTGTTTTTCACAAATTTGTTAAAACTGTCAATATGTTGTGACAGTTTCATATGAAAGCTCCTCTGCCTCCTCACAGTGCCACTATTGCTATCTGCAGAAATGATGAGGGTATTAGCGCTGCCAATCACATCATGTATGCACTCCTAAATGTGCTACTGGTGGAGAAACAACTTAGCATTCCAGGAAAACTGCTATCATCGTGGCTGTGCTAACTAACCTAAGACCCTCCTCTTGCCTCGGATTGGTTGTTTCTGACAGAGCTGCGTATTTGTTCAGATGACAGCAGGACCATAGAAAGAAAGCAGCAGAGGAATTTTTTTTCACAGATTTTGTCACCACATGGTGATAGCTTTAACAAACAAGTAAAAAAGTTTTAAAAAAAAACATATTGCTGCTTTATGGTAAACATTAATTCTCCACGAAATAAGCACAAGCTAATCATGCTAATATCATTTGCTAAACGTAGTTTAAGATGTAAAGTAAATTTGTCTCTCTCACAAGCTGCATGATTCGCCTTTGGCCTCGGTTAGAAAGTTAAATACTTTAAACACAACGCTCATATCAACAAATAATATAAAGTGAAGCTAGAATTAGCATAAACATATTTAACAGCTGGTCAAACATGTCCAAAAACTGAGTAACAAAAATTAAAGTCGTAATGAGTGCGTCTTTTCTCAGGAAGATTTTAGTTCAATCAGTTAATTGCATTTTCCAAAGTGAATCCATCAAAAATGTCCAACAGATCTCCTCCAAACACAAAAGAAAAACTAAGGGCTCAGTTTTTTTTCTATTAGAAAAAAATAACCATTATTTCAGAAATTCTTGGGTCAATTTTCTCCTCCAAGACAGTTCATTGCCACCAAATGTTCTTAATCATCTACTCATGCCTTCTGCAGTGCATAAAACTCCCACTCCTCGTGTTCATGCTCAAAGTCAGGGGGACCGAATTCCTGGAAGCTGTTCTGTCCCACAGCAGTGTGTGGCTTGTAGGATTCTAGTGTGTGATGACATGCACAGAAGCAGTCCGTTTTGTATCATGCAGGAATAAAAAGTTGTCTGCATCCTGCATGCTTCAAAGCCAGTATATTGAGAGCAGGAGTGCAAGGGGAAAATTCAGGGTCCGCAGTGGGACGGGGGAATGAAGCGTCTTTGAGGACAGGCTTTCATTTGTGAAACATGGACGGTAGATGCTCATTGCATTTGACACCCCTGTCTCTTTTACCTGCGTTCCAACACTTCACCAGCTGGCCTTTGATAGCTGCCAGGGGGCTAAACTTGATCAGATGGCTAAATATTGTAATTACAAATGACTAGTATACAAACTTCATTCATCTTGGCATGAAGGCGTGCAGAGAATGAGTCATGTCTTCAGTGCAGGCTGAAATGTGCTGCATTTTCAACTTGGAGAACACGGTGCAGTACAGTGGGCTTCTTTCTGCAGTAAACATAACCCAGAAGTATGCTGGGAGAAACGCTAAAGGTTTCATTTCTCCCTCTATTATTAGCGCTAACTGGGAATGTCTCTGCTCTCTTCTTTGTAAATGAGAGACAGCAGCATGGAATTAGAAGGGACGTGATGAAAGCAATATTTTCAAGCTCTCAATATACCGTGACAGGTTTTTGGGTTAGCATGGAGAAGAGCTGGCACCACTTTCAACCTATTCCAGGGCAACAGATATGTCAGGAACCTAGAGTTTGTTCCCCACTTTGACTACATTGTTCTCAGGACATGTATGAAGCGTTTCAAAGAAGGCGATCAGTTATCCATATCTGCATAAAACACATGACACCTAGTGGAACCTGAATGGTAAGAAGGAAAGGAAAAATATGACCTGCAACTCATCTCGAAAAAAATGAGCTGCTTTGGTCAGTGCTTTCTCAAATTATTTATGGTCAAGCCTTGAACTAATAAATAATTCCCAACAGTTGATGAGTGAAGATGTGACACCAAAGTGACCAAAGTTAACAGCTCAGCAGCCTCTGTTGATGTGAAAAGGCCCTGAAATAAACGAGTCTTTAGTGCAAAAAAAACAAAACAAAAAC